TCCGTGTAAACGAGCAATCGGATATACAAATCGTACGCATACACAATGAAAATGTAGCAAAAGTTAATATTCTGGAGAGAGAGAGAGAGTGAGAGAGAAAAGTAAGTAACCTAATATTGTGTACGCTGAGGATTCCACCGAGATAATGTGGCTAATGGAAATTAATGCTCTCAATTCGGTTGCGTTAACGCACATTCTTTATTTACCTTTTGATTATTAACAGAACAGAAAATCCAAAACAATTCTGTTGATTGAAAAGGAAGTGAATGAAAAAAACAACTAAATCGAACTGAAATAAAAGAGAAACAAATGTGTATCTCGCTCCAAATAAAATTCAGCGAATTCAAAGCAGCATTCAAAACTGTACACACACACACTAAATAAATCTGTGTGTGGGAGCAAAAGCGACTTTGGCTTGGTAAGTTCGCTACATAGATTTTTGTTGTTGTTGTCAGCGCGCCTCGAATATGAATATTATGTGTGCTTGTAATTGTGAAGCGATTCGCACAAACTTACCATTTCAATTCAGTCAGCGTATACACTTTGCACATTCATGCATGCACGCTTGCTAGAAGATGGAAGCTCACATCTCACATTTCGCTTTTTTAATTTATGACATGGAATGGCATCGTTTCCATCTGCAATGTGTGACACTAACATCGTGTGATGTTAGTCGCTCGCTTACTCGTTCGTTTGTTCGCTGTTCCAAATTCGGTATAACTTCACGATACGATGACTCAACGCACATACACACACGCAAGCGAGTGCCTCATAACTTAACATCTCGTGCGCTCTTCTCAATGGCCTCTTGCACAACAGTAATGCTTCTTTGAGAATGTACTTTGCGAATTTAATGCGTTTGGGATCTCTCTCTCTCTCTCTCTCTTTCTCTCTTTCTCTATTTGTCTCTTTCATCTCCGGAGCATTGTTTATTTACAATGTAAGTGCAAACAGCTGACTTTCGCAATAAATGTTTCGCATAAATTCCTGCCGCCTTCAACTCTTTCACACGGAACACACTGCCATTTTTCGAGCTCAAATGTCACTGACATTTCAAAGTGAACAGGTCAAATCCATTTTCAGCCATATTACGCGTGCATATTGACACGCAACGCCTGTTACGTGACATTCGATGAACGATTTTGCCATTGTCAAAAAGTGTATCGATTAGAGAGGAGTATTAGTTTCTTCACACTATGAACACGCAAAATATGAAATTCGATAATTGATCAGCGAACGAACGAAAATTCCGTGATTTGGGTCAACCGCAAATAAAATAAATGGCAGAAATATTTTACATGTGTAGAACATGTTACTCGTCTTGACTCTGCTCTGTTCGTTAAATGTTTATTTATTTCGCAGAGAGCGAAGTTCACGCTCACAGCAAACACACACAAGCACACCACAAAACGACGCTAAACAATGAAAAATAAATGTTGGATTTGCATGAATTATGAATCACCGCGCGCAATATTTTCCATCGTTATATGACAACGAAAATAATGATGCATATGATAAACGGGCCATTCGCACCGATGACAACTTTATTTCCGACGGCGTTCAAATGACGACACAAATACATGCTCCGAGTTTGGCCCAATTTTCCAATTCGATTCACATTTCGTTGTGATGGCTGCTTTTTTTTCGGTTCGATGAAAATTCGGAAATAGTTTTCCTCAACTAGAAAAACTCACGATTTTTTCGCCGAAGAGTCAAAATTCAATGTTTTTTTTTTAAAGATGCCGTACCGAGAATTGCAACACACGAAGCCGAAAACATCGAAAGAGATGTGCACATTTTGTGACTTTGCCATGCATTCGACTGACTGGTACTGATTTAATGAAGAAAAAACAAGAGCGGCTGCTTTTTTTGCAATCAAATTGTAAAAATAAAATGTAAATATTCGAAATTCCACGCAAATTAATATCAAAGCCATTTAGTTTGGTGTGATTTTTATTTTTATACCCCTCGACGAGAGAGAGAGAGAGAGAGAGAGAGAGAGAGAGAGAGAAAGAGAAAAAAACGGCATCTAAATGTGTACCGTGTTCAAGTCGTTCATCGGAACATCATGGGAGCTCTAGAGGGGACGGATTGAGCGAGACAGAAATTCGTTCAGGCAAACACCAATGACAATTCAAAAGAATGCTCCGAGTTATACAATGAAAGCGTTTCGCGGCGGGCGTTCTGTTTGCCGCTCAATGTGTTGAATTGAATGTTTTTCTATTAAAAATGTGTTATTTTTTCTTCTTTTCTCAGCGACACTGAAATATTTGAAACGAAGAAAAAGTTTGTAAGCAAAGTGAGAAAAGCACGAAGCTGGCGTCACTTTCTATACTAATATCAAAAACAGATTTTTTTTATTTAGCTCCGAAAGATGAAAGTGAATTCTTTTTTATCGTGAAGAAAAAAAAATGTGTCACTGAAATAGCGGAATACGAGAAGAGAAAAAAATTTCGTTGCCTCGACACGATTTTATCACGATTTGATATTCTATTTAGGAATGAGTCCTCTTTTTTTCGCTGCTGCTGTTGTTGTTGTTGATAAGTCTCGGTTATTCAGGGCGGTGAAACACGAGCGGCAGATGGTCATTTTCTATCTATAATAACGAAATGTCGAATGAAAAAAAAAATGATATGATCCAGTGGAATCCATTTGGATTTTTAAATTAAGTTTGTATCAAAATGTGCCAGAGTCAAACCACGGAAAATGCCATTTTGGCTGTGCCGTGGAAATTCATTCTCGCTTACTCATTCGCTCACGCTTTCAATCTAAAACTCATTTGCTATTCATAGATCAACGTTTTCATTTGATTTTATACCGGGAAATGCAATTTCATGTGCTCACCCGGAAAACTGAAACGAAAGAGAGAGAAAGAGAATAAAAAAAACATGATATGCAAAACGGACGCAACCGCTAACTACATAAGTGAGTGTGTATATGTGTGTGTGTGTGTTCGTGATTCAGTGAATGTACAGGCACTTGCACATGCAGCTGAGTGTAGATGGATGCGGTAAATGAATTTCGAGTTAATTTATCTATTAAAACTAACATTTCACTCTATTTTACACCAGATGCAGACTATTCTCTCTCGCTCTCTCTCTCTCTCTCTCTCTCTCTCTCTCTCGCTACTTCTTCCTTTCTCTCTGGGCTCAATCAATACAAAATAAAATTAAAAAACTTTTCCCCAGAGAATTCTCATTCGCTTTGCGCGAACCAACCATTTTTTTGCGCATCACACAATAAAAGATAACTATGTAAATAATACTGTCTAGTATAATGTTGATGGGGTGTATTTTTGATCGTTTACGACATTTTTGCTGCGTGTTTTTGCGCGCCGTATATACGGAGACAACGAAGAGAAAGAAGACGTCGAAGACGACGGCGGTGGCATTTTAGAAATAACAAATTCTCGAGTATATTTTGTCTATTCGGTCGTCAATTTTTGCGCTTGCCAAACACATAATTTCATCAAAATAATCACGAGATAGCGAATTGAAAACAATTTATAGCGATTTTTCTCTTTTGATGAGACGTAGTCATAGGCGACGAAGCGAATGTGTGAGCGAGCAATCAAGAGTTCAGGGATTTTCGCAGTGGCGTCTATCAAGAGAAAATTTCAAGCGTTTGTGGTAGCGCAATATTTGTCAGCTGACTCAAAACATGAATTTACGAATTAAATAATATGAATAGCGAAGATTCCGGCACCGAAAGCGAAGCACATTCAAAATGAATTAGTGTGTAGGATGTTGGATAATATTATATCCATATTCATCCAACACAATTTGCAAATGCTAATGCTGTGTGCTGCATTGTGCGAATGTCATCGAGAGTCTTTTAACATCCAACATTGAATACAGAATATTATGAACATGAACACTCGCTCGCCCATTCGCACTCTCGCAACGGATTTACATTGTACTGTAATGCCAGATTTCCATTTCGATTGATTTCATTTGCAAAGTTAAAGTACCACTCATATGATGTATCAAATTTATTTAAATTTGAATTGCTGTTCCAAGTGCCACTCTCCGAATCCTTCAATTCGAACGAATGCATTCGGAAAGCTTGCGTCGAGCGAAAATTGGAAAATTGCTTGAATAACACATACACATAAATCGATTAATATTAGCACACCCAAATCGATGATGACTTTTGACGATGTTTTACATTTTGGATTTGTGTAGCAGCGGCAGTCACTCTTCTCATTTCAATATTGCAACTGTAAAATTAGTTGTGAGACTTGATGCATGGCTAACGATTTAACAAACATGATAGATACAGTAAAAAGCCATTCAAAATTTAATTATGTCTGAATTAATTATATGCGCCAAGAACGTAACAAAAAGAGCAATAGACGCGATCAACTAGACCGTTTTGAATTGTTTTGCAAGTGCACGCAAGTGATATGTATGTGTGCTTTTTCCGCAAAAGTAATGACATAGAGAGAGAGAGAGAGAGAGAGAGAGAGAGAGAAAGAAAAAATTCATTCATTCCGTTGGGGCTGAGACATTCGTAGGCCGAGCCATTCGACCGCTTTTGCAAAATAGCTGCAATTAAAACGTCGTATATTTTTCACAATTTGTTTCTGTTGCCCTCCGTTTGAATCACGGTTTTATGGTCGATTGGTTTAGTATTATTTACGAACGACATGGCAGCGAGTGGTAATGTGGTTGAACAGAAAACAAAAAAAATCGCACTTCGGACACATTTTAATGTAAAATCAAAGCCGTATGAGTTGTGCACATGCGCAAACCAAAATATTTATCCAATTTTTTTTCTTCGAATGTGGTCGCGCGATAGAGAAAGAGAACGGTTCTAAATTTTCCGAAATTTGTTACACGCTACAAACTGAAACGATCGTTACGCGCTGCCCGACATCTTAAATAACGATCGGTTTGCTGTGATGCTCGAGAATCGATCGAACACACACATACACCAGAAGAGAAAAAAAAATCTAAATAAATGTATGGTTTATGAGAGAAAATTACCGAACAATCGTTAGTCGTCGACGGGATTGCAGTAGACACACGTTCCGTAAAAAAGAGCGAGAGTTCGTCGTTATGCCATACGAGTGAAACAACAACAAGAAGAGAAAAATAAACCCAACGAAAACGTCTGAATGAGAGAAATAAAATCTATTTTAAGTCTATACAATGAGCAGGAGCACGCGCACATTCGATCGAATTTCAGATTTTACGAGCAAAATAATGTTGTATGTACGGAGGTTTTCGGTTCGTTGGTGCTGCTACTGCTTACGATCAACGTCGACGAATCAGTTTCTCAACAGTCCGAATCACGAATCAAAGAGACGTTTTCAGTTGAAACTAAACTGTTCTTTTATAAGCGTTTGCAATCGGTTCGAAGAAGAGAGAAAAAGTTTTTTTTTTTCATTGGTTAAAAAGTGCATTATTTCTTCGAATATGCATATTCATTTAACAAACCGAGATTATTTGTTGATCTGATTGAATTCGGATTTGCATTTGTTTCACATCCAGGATTGATGCTCTGTGCAAAAGAAGATTCGAGAAGTGCGCAACAACAAAAGCAACGGGAGAAAACGGGATGCAATAAAAAAAATGCAGTGGAAAATCTGTATGTTTCAAGTGTGAATATGGTGAAAAGGTGTGATTATCGATGAAGTTACATCGAGATTTATGTGTGCTATATACAAGTGAATTGAATGGCAAGCGTAACGATTCGTTTTTTTTGTGTGCATTGGGTGGACAGCAGAGATAGAATGAAAAAGTATCCGCCATTTTAATTTCACTTCCTACTTTTTTTCTTCGCTCGCACAATTTTCGTTTTCTACGCCAAATCAACGAATATAGCAACATCTCGCTCGCAGATTCAAAGTTCACGAACACATTTGCACCAATCAATACAGCTGCGCTGTGAGAAAGCGAACGAGAACACACACAAGAGAAGTAGAGAAAAAAAAACATCAACGTCAAAGTCGATTTATTGGCTCAAGTGTTGTGAAAGAATTTTTCATGTTAATATTTATATACACTCATTTAAAAAAAAATGTGACATTGATGATAGCATGATATAAGTTAATAAGTGATTGAATATGCGGATTTAGAGAGAAAACGGAACTATTTTGAACTTCTGCTTTTTCATTCATTCGCACAGCCAAGGACGGTAAGATCAATCATTTCAATCAAATGTGCACTCGTTGTGATGAGAATAAAAAGTGATTCTATCGAAATGTTATATGCCAATTCTCTCGCTCTCTTACTTGTAATTATCATTATGGTTCCGTTAGAACGACGATATACACTCGAATCATCATCATCATCATCTTCAAGCAGTCTGTTCAAGTTGAATTTCATTCTCCGCCACTTTCAGTTCAATTCAATATCCTTTTCATCGAGTTGTATCATCGAGTTGTATCATCGTCCTACGCCACTCTTAATACCGTGTTTTATGTTTTTCTCCTTTCATATTTCGCTTTCGTCGGATATCAAAAGCAAGCGAAGACGATGATAAGAGGAAAATTTATGAGAAGTGCGGCGCTTGTTATTTCTTAAATACTTGAAAATAAATAGAATGAACAAAAGTGCTTAAAGACAAATGAAGACCTGCATTCGGTTGTGACACTTGTGCTGTCCGTAATTTTATTCGACTTTTACCATTGAACAACCTCAAACAACAGCTAACTCCATCATTCTTATGGTAATATTGCAAGTGATGATGCAAAAAATCCAGCCAAACTTCTTCCGATAAATTGTTTCAAGGCAAAATATGGCAGCAGCAGCAGCAGCACAACTGAACCGATGAACAATACCCCAAATGTGAATTCAAGATTGAGATAAACTTCTTCCTTTTCATTTTCTTCAGTCTCTTGGTGCTGCATGAATGTGAGTGTGTGTGTGTGTGTGTGTGTGTGTGTATGCTGGTATGTGCAAGTGCTGGTTATTTTGATTTCATTCCGGTTGGTTGTGAACTTTTGGCATCCGTTGTTATGTCTGAAATATGTGAAAAGTTGTCTATGCTATCTTGTAGCTGCCGCATCAAACACGTTCGCATGAGATCACATAGCGTTGAATTCACGTAGAAAACCCAAAGTATGTTTGTATTGTATTTTGCCATTGGCATGCACTCGCCTGCATTCTGCACACTGTGCTTTTTTTCTGCATTCGCTCGTTCGTTGGTTCTCTCTATCGTTCAATATATTGCTGTGCCATGATGAATGTACTTTCGTGTTTTTCCGAGCTACCACATTCAGTGCTTTACTGTGTACTGAATTCGATGTGTTTTTATTTCATTTCCGTGTATTTTTTCTGGATGAAAAAAAAATTCTTTATCCTTTTCGCTTCCTTCTCACACTTGCACGCTATCATGTACCGTATTACGTAATTCAAACCAAGCAGAAGAGAGAGCCAATGAGAGGGTGATTGGAAGAGAGAAAATGAGAGAGAAAAGGAAAATGAGAGTGAGTAAGAGTGAGTGAGCGAGAATAAATTCTGGCTTCTTTTACCAAATGCATTCGAATAAATAATTTTTTATGAATATTTCATGAGCAGAAAGGCAGCGTGTGTGTGTGCCTAGCATCAGCAAACGACCGACGCCGTTTGCATATATGAAAATTGGAAATTCAATATAAATGCTAAGTCGTGAAAATCCAAAAATGCTCTTACACCAGCAATAAGCAATCGACTATTATCTGTTTACATGAAACTAACTCAATCAGTTTTTGTTGAGCATTCAGTCTAGTTTAACATTGCGGTTAAATGATCAATGCTTTCGAATTTACCGAGAATTTTCAGCCTTAATACATCCATCTATTTTTGCTGGAAAGAAATGTTTGAAAGAAAAAATCTTAACCTCTATAAATCTCTCTTGAGTTCTAGTGGAAAAGGCTTCGTTTTCTTCATCAAGCAGCCATTCGAAATTACCGTATAATGTATTTGAAGGGTATTAATTATAATTCATAAACAGAACCTTCAAACACAAAACCATTTGAACAATTTTAATTGCTTGATTCAAATTCGTTCGTTTCTTTTTCTCTGAAGTTCAAGTGTGTTCTCTCATCGCTTGCTCGTTCGGCAACAATTTGTAATGCCGTGCACGGGCTGAACCGTTATGCGTTTTCATCACGTTTATTATTTTCGAAATCCAAACAACACGTCGATTTAATACCATTTACATTTAATGGACAGTAGCGCGCGAGCGCGCATTTTACGACTATCACATGCAACCAGCGAAAAATATCCAGGCTCTATCTGTAACGTTCGTTCGTTCTTTCAATTCTGGTTTCAGTTGCGAGCACAGATACATTTTCTCCTCGCTCTCGTTCTCTATATCTCTCACTCGATAATTGTTTATGCGTTCGTATTATGGGTAAATACAACATTTCCAGTGTGTGTGCTGTGTATTCGCTCGGGAAAATGGTGAACAGGAGAGAACGAGAGCAGAGAGAGAGAGAGAGAGAGGAATTAGCCTACGTGTGTATGAGTATATCGGTATATTTATAGCTGAACTGTGAAAGACGTGAGCCATTCGCACTTTACGTTTTTACGCCGCTATTAGCTTCCGATTCAATTCTATAGCTCGATTCTCTTCTGCTTCTTTATCGTTTTCGTTTCAGATTTTTTTTTCTTCTTCATAGATTTCCTTTTTAACTATGAACTTTAAATACGTTTACTTGTGTTTTTGTTTTTTCTTCGATGTGATTGCGTCCATGTGGCGTGAGCATAGCAAGCAAACGCGCTGCCAACGAATACGACGACGACAACGTTGACGATGAAAGTGGAAGAGAATGCACATTATGAACGTGAGAAGGGAAAGAAAGTTACTCAATTTTCAGTTAAATATTGCATGAATGCACGAATGTGGCTCTCGGTTGCATGGAAACAGAGGTGATTTTAAGTATTTAAAGCCATTGTGTAAATTGCACGATAACAAGGTACGACGACGTTATGTGTTTTCTTTTCGTTTTCCACTCGATATACATATGAGTTTTGCAAGTTTTCACATTTTTCATATCGTTTCGTGGCGAGGGTGTGTCCTTTGTGCTCAAGTGGCGCTCAGTTTTTTTTTCGGTTTTGTTCTTTATGTGACGATCAAAATTGATGAAACTCATTCATAAATTTCACTTTTGATAATATTCGTTTTTGTGTGTGTGTGTGAAGAATATCGAAAATAGAGTGGATGCGATGGGTATAAAACTTTGTCGTTCGTGTGATCGAAATGGCACTTAAGCAGTTTTATGAATGTTCAAAGTTTGAAATTGTTTAGAAAATTACGATGTTCTTTCGACGAAAACCTACTTTTCAAAATATCGCAATATTTAATGGTTGTTTATGGGAATTTCTTTGAAAAATAGTAGAAAATATCAATGACTTCTAGTGTGTGATGTACTAGTTTCTCGAAATATCATCAATGAAGTCGTATCGAATAGTAAATATCTTTCTGAAATTATTTCAATGCTTTTTCTCTCTCTCCCTCTCTCTCTCTCTCTCTCTCTTGCCGCTTCAACCTATCTTCTCTATGCTCAGAATCAATTTGTCACGAAGATATTTTACGTCTACAACGTCAACTAGAAGAATCGGCTAACATTGAAAGCGTCTCTCTTTTATTGAACAACACAAAAATCGCTTTATGCTACGATGACAAACGAATCCGTTCTGCCAGATTACATTTGTAAGAGATGAAAGAGATGAATAAAATGAAACGAACAGAATCAATTTATGAATGTCTTGATGTTTTTGAATTGAATATTACGAGTGAATAGCACAAAAAAAAACGAATGTCTTTCAGCTTTTCTATTCGGATTATTATTGAAAAGAAAAAACGAAGAAAACACAGTGAATTTTCTATTAAATGGCACATAGAATGAACACGTACCGTCGAAATTTATGGCCAGTTTCATAATTCATGTGGTTCACATTTGATGCGGTTTGCTGTTTTATTCGGAAGAAAAATTGAGGAAAATCTTAATGAACAATGAAAATTGGCAATAAAACGCTTGTTGTAAAAACAAGAGTGTGCATTGTTTGATGTGGATGTTTGACGTGGTCTTTCTCTTGCTTATGCTCTTGCACTTGTTCTCGCGTTTATGCTGTCTCATTCTCAATTTCAAGTGAAGCGACCGCAAACATTCGCATGAAATTCTAAGCCGTATACACAAATATCGTGGCTCATTTCGCTTTTAAAATCGATTTTCGTCGTTGGCTCTTCAGCTAATATACATTTCAAGAGCGCCGTATGTCGAATTCGTCACATTGCGCTGAATTGAATTATGATGAAATTCCTAGAAGCGTTCAAATCAATCAACTAAAAAAACTACACACAATCGGTGGGATTGCAATGAAGCAATTGTAAAGAGAAAAAGAACGAAACGCAACGCGAGAAAAATAAAATCATAAATTCAAAACTCGTTTCGAATTTCGAGTGATTGGGTTGAAATAAAGTGCAAAAGAAACCTACACATTCGAGAATTGAGTTTTTTTTTTCTTGTTTCGCGTTCACTTTTGTTATATTTAAAAGGCGTTGCACGTGATTAATTTTACCTTTGCATTGATTTGCGATTTCTTATCTTTCGTTCTATTCGACATTCGATATGTTCGCACGGACCTTTTTCGTATTTCAATGAAACACAGTCGGCGGCAGCGGCAGTGGCGTCGTTCGACGACAGCAACGGTGTACGGTTACGGGGCTGTAGCCACAAGTTACGCTGTTATTTGTTACGTCAGGCTAAGCCTCGCGCGAAATATGGTTGTGTGCGATTGTGAAGTGGGAATTTTTATGGTTTACTTGCATTATTCAACAATCATGAATTGGCATTTCTTTTCTCGTTGACTCTCAAAATCGATAGATTGCACAAAATCTCAGCACATGCACACCAATATACCCGCTATTACAAACGTCCATTACTTTTGTGCAAGAAAGAAACATTGTTTCCGCTTTGGCGACGTTGTAATTTTGCGTGCTTGAATTGAAAACAAGTGTTGTTGAAGCTCAAATTAAATTGAGCTGTCGCTTCAGTGACAATCACACAAGCGCAAGCTGGTGTGTACGTTATTGTTTGTATGCTTTTCTCATCACATTCTCTCAGCTTTACTTTTCGATCTCGTCATTTTCTCTGTTTGCATTTCTGGCATTGTGTTCGAATTCTCTTGATTCAAGAGTCTTGAAGCGGTTATTTGTGTGCGGTGCCGTTTATTTATATCGACATTTGGCTGTAATTTATCATGAAACGACGCAGCCGATAGATATAAATATTTTAAAGATATTGACTCGATGACTTCAGTGTGGATAAAATGGTTGTCATACGAATTGTACTTTATTTACAGAAGTCCATCAGACCTGGGGAAGAAGAGAAAAAAAGGACAATAAATTTGTGAAGGAAACTGAGTAACATTAGGACGATTTCAAAATGGTGATTGGAGACAAAGACGAAGCACAGCCAGGCGGTGTCACACAAATGCCGCCCGCATCCATTGATAACATAATGAGTGGTATCAGCAATACTGGCTCAGTCAAAATGAATAATCATCGAAAGAAACTGCGGCAAAGGTAAGCCACCGGCTCGAATTTCAATTTTAACAAATGAAAATAAAAACAGAAAACAAACGACAATTATCACCGTTTGCTTTGTCATTCACAGGTTCGACATAATCAAAAAGCTGGGTCAAGGTACTTACGGTAAAGTGCAATTAGGAATAAACAAAGAAACCAGTCAAGATGTTGCAATTAAAACGATAAAAAAATGTAAAATCGAAACGGAGGCCGATTTGGTGCGCATCCGACGAGAAGTGCAAATTATGAGCTCCGTTCAACATCCAAATATCATTCACATTTATGAAGGTAAAACTCTCTTCGCATTTTTTTTTCCATTTTCAATGACACTTGTTTGAATAAGCAATTCCAATTTCGGGACTGTGTTTTCGTTCATTCATTTATTTTCCGTTCTTTCTTTCACCTTTGTCCGGTGCAGTGTTTGAAAATCGTGAAAAAATGGTGCTTGTGATGGAATTTGCGGCCGGTGGAGAACTGTACGATTACTTATCCGAGCGAAAAGTATTAACGGAAGACGAAGCACGACGAATTTTTCGACAAATTGCTACAGCTGTGTATTATTGTCACAAGCATAAAATCTGCCATCGAGATTTAAAATTAGAAAATATCCTACTCGACGAACATGGCAATGCCAAAGTGAGTGAACTTTCATTCAACGTTTCTTTTTTTCTCTGCATTTTTCTCGTTCAATCAACAATAAAAAGAGAAACCAGAAGAACACTTTTATGGTTGATGTCTGTGGTATTTTTATAACGAATGAAATTCGTTCTTTTTCTCTTGCCTTAGCCCACAAAACATTTGATTTATTTGATTATACTAACTTTTTTCTTCAAATCATTTTATCCGTTTCATTGAATCAGATTGCCGACTTTGGTTTGTCCAATGTGTTCGAAGAGAAACGACTGTTGGCCACATTCTGTGGTTCACCGCTTTATGCTTCACCAGGTATGTTGAACAAAAATTTGATTCTTTTCGCCCGCGATTGAGAAATAAAGTTTGAAAAATGTCATTGCAGAAATTGTGAAAGGAACACCGTATCAAGGGCCAGAAGTTGACTGTTGGTCGTTGGGTGTTTTATTGTATACGTTAGTTTACGGTGCCATGCCATTTGATGGATCGAATTTTAAGCGATTGGTGAAACAAATCAGTGCGGGTGATTATTATGAGCCGAAGAAACCGTCGAATGCTTCGCCACTCATTCGAGAAATGCTCACCGTTTGTCCGAAACGTCGGGCGACCATCGAACAAATTTGCAACCATTGGTAAATATTGAACGATTTTTGTGGATTTTGAACTATTAAATTGTAATTCGATTGAGAGTGGTCTTTATCAATGTGGATGTCTTATTCAATGCTCTTAGTATTCAATCAAAATTTGACTAAAGTTGAAATATAATTTCAAAGTTCAGTTCTGCATTATTGATGAATAGATTCAATAATGATTTTCTGAGCTCTCAAGTTTACATTGAAAATTTACCAGCTATTCAAATGTTAAAAAATCCTTTTGCTCTATTTTCAGGTGGGTAAACGAAAGCTATACAGCATGTTGTTTGAACTTAGCCGAAGAGTTGGCAAATCAAACGCCAGTTCGATTGGATGTGCTGTTATCATTGGCGCCGCCGGCTGTTACTTCCGAGCAGTTGGTTGTTCCGAATCCCCATGAGGTTGAGAACAAACAAAATGTTACCCGAAGCATGTCGGTGGGATCGGTTCGCGAGCTCAATGAAATTGCAAACACAGAAGCTGAACAACGTATCATTGATATGGTTGCGGCTGGCGGTGAAGCAGCATTAGCACCATCACCAACGCGAACAATCACTCCATCGGCCACAATGGTGGCGCAAGTGAAACGAAAACCAGAAAATACCATTTCCACCGAGTCCATGACCGGTGCTCGAAAACGTGATAAACCAACCGAACAAATTAAAAATACACAATCAAAATTGTCCATCAGCGAAGTGATGAATGTCGACGAAAGCGCACAAAACGACGGGCCAAACGAAAAAAATGTGGCCGAACTGTCGTCATCCACTTTGCCCGATGTCGTGAATGACGAAGTGAAAAAAGAAGAAAAGTTGACAAAGAACAAAAACAAAGGCAGCACCGACACAATCATTGAAGAAGTACCGCCAACAGTGTTGCAAAAAACGCAAACCAGTGAACCAAAACCGCCAAAAACGTTTGCAAAAACGAAAACAACGGATTTGAGTGAGGTGGCTCGAGCTCCACCAGCGCCGCCAGAGGAGAAGGTGCCGGAAGAACCAAAACCAAGCACCGAACGAAGAAAGTCACGTATCATGGAAGCAGCTGAACGTTTCGAGGCTGCCGCTACAGCTCCAGTTGAAAAACCGAAAAAATTCGTTGTGAAAAAAGATGTTGAGCGAAAAACATCTGCACCACAACCGACGACCACTTCTTTCATCGAAAAACCATCAAAACCGCCAACTAATTTGCCACAACAAAGCAGCGACAAAACAGTGAACGACATCAGCAAAAACAAAACGGAATTGTCTTCCGCCAATTCGAGTGGTCAAGATGTTGATTTGGCCAAAAGTGATTCGAAAAATTCAAATCTATCACTGGAGGAGGCGCGACGTTCGATGGAAAATTCAATAGCATTGCTGAACCAGGCGAAAATCGAATCGAGCAACGAAGTGGAGCAACTGTGTGCCAAAACGGAAAATGTTGCTGTGTCCAGCAAACATGACGAGGGTGAGCGACAAAGAAAATTGAAAAATGCTCGTGAAATCATAGGGAATGCTATTCCACGATTCAGTGGCATGGGCAAGTTTTTTTATAAATACATTGGCCATTTTCATTGTTAATCTAAATGGAATACTTTTTGTCCATTGATAGGTGTACGCAAACCTCCAGTGCCATTCGGTGCGAATGGCCGAAGCATCTCTGGAAGTGTTGTACCATCGTCCACACGAAATGTCTCAACACCACCGGATCCAAGATTGCATGAGCGTGAATCACCGCTTAGCGTTTATGGTTCAAGACGTATGTTCACCACTGAAATAATATGAAATTTATTTGAATTGGTTTTTGTTTTTCGTGGATAAAAACTTTCATGAAACCAAGAAAAAAAAAGTCGGTTTGTAATTTGCTTAATCGGTTTTTGTTTACTTTTTTCCCCTCAATGAAGCGGTGGCAGCAAACGAGCCAGGCATGATTGATGAAGAGCAACCGAAAGTGTCATCCGCTGAAATTACATTGAAGTCAGCCACATTGCCACGTCGCAAAATCGGAAGGTATCATTTTCAACAAAGAATTTTTCACTTTCTTTTTAAATTAGTTATCATCTTTTATCTAAACAAATACATTAACCCAATTTTTCTCTTGCTTTCTTCCAAAGACCTGATGTGGAGCAACAACAACAGTATCATCCGACATATAATCCAGTGTTTGCGACATCTGGTGCCCGTGGTGGTGTAGACTTAGAGCCGCAACTGTCGACACAGCAAAAACCAAAAGAGCATTACATCCCAATTCAACGCGTTGGATACGTGGCCAATACATCATCTAGTCAACGTTCGGTGTTGTCGCGTCAATCGACCAATGACTCTGACACATCGGACACACAGACTGCGTCGACAGCAACCATTGGAACGCAACCATCGCTGCAAACATCAAACTCATCATCGCAACCGATCAAAAAGAGTCCACGTGAATTCATTATTCCGATTGCCGTTGAGGGTGGTGGTTTTGTAACACCGCGAGCCGGAAGCCTTGAGCCATCTGAATCGAATCATAGTACAAGTACAGCATTTAGTCGTTTCAGTGGCCGGCCACGCAAAATTAGCTCAATTTTCAATGATTCAGAGGATGAATCAATCAATTCACCCTTCCATCGTATGCAACGGCATACTTCAATCGGTCGCGACAGTGACACAGAAACAAATCAACCAGCGACTGGATTCACATATCGTTTGCGCAGCACACGACCATTCAAAAAATTACAGGCCGAAGGAAATGACTCGGGAAGTTCGGGCGAAGAAGATGATGAAGATGGTTTTGAAATTTTGACTGCTGAAAATCTCTTCTCTACACTTTTGTCACGCGTAAGTCAAATCACGCACCCTAACTTCCATTTGATAAAAGAACATTTAAACCGATATAACCAAATTGTTTGCTGTCAAACTTTGTCTCGCTCACGCCAACTGTCGCACTGACTCGTTCGTTTACGAATTGCTGTTAGCGTAAAAGAGACTTTGTTCGCAGTGGACTCAGTTTAGATGTTCTTTTCGAGAAAAAAAAATAATTGTGCTCTGAATATGTTGCCTTGGTTTTACTTCAACAGGTTCGTGCACTAACCAATCGCCTCAATGTAAAAGATGACCCGACCAGTGATTTTCCATCAGCACGTTTTTTGAATAATTTTCGTCAAACACACAGCCCATTCTGGCAAAACGACCCCTTCTCTAGGTAAAAATCGTTTTTTGCCAATCAAATTAACGCGATGTTTCTTTTTTTTTCTCGTTTGTTTTGTTCGTTTTTTCTCGTTTCTGTTTCGGTTGTGGCTACAGCTTCTTTTTTCGGCTTGAAGTCATTTTCATTGAGTCAAGAGCTTCTCTGATGAAAATTTTAATTACCATTGTCCATTTTGAAAAAGAAACAATTTGCTGAAATTTTGCGTTTTTCTCTCTTTCGATGACGAATGACTTCTGCGCGCGCACACACACATTTCTCCACTAATCTTGTGGTCACCTGACTTACTAATGAAAAACAACCACTACTTTTTTCTTACTCGCCCAGAAAAACCAAAGCTAACCGCATTAACCGATACCGTAATATTTATTCTTTCTTTTCCGCCAACCAAAAACCAAAATTAACCCTCCGATTAAAAAAAAAACACACACACACATACATTCAAAAAAAAAACTCAGCAAGCAATATACTTACTATAGCGAATCAGTCGTAACAACAAAGAGGGAAATGTAAGTCAAATGAAAATATCTTAATACAAATTGTTTTTTTTTCTGTTAATTTTTAATTCAATTAAACCACCATTTTTCTTGTACAACCAATAATCCATTGAATTCACTCTTTTATGCGATGCCACCATTTTTATGATGACAAATGCGTTGTCGTATGGTTTCATTTTGTTCGTAACGAAACGGAGATCTGGCAGCGCAAGAAAAAAACGAAAATGCTTTATCATTATAATTTAATTTGCCTACGCTGATACAAACCAAACCCACTCATTCAAGTGCTTTTCATTTGAAAATTGTCTTACTAACCGATGTCAAATTGCAAATTTGTGTTTTCTTTTTTAATTACCGAATTTTCTGTGCAATCCGCCAATTATTCATTGTGATTTGTGTTTTTTTTTCGTTCATCTCTCTGTTCGTGGTTGCAACAACATTCACAATGCATTCATGAAATTCTCTGTTTTTTTGAAATTCTCATTTAATTGTTGAATTTGGCGCTTGTCCATTAAAAATTCTCACCTCATTATCACAAACACACATACACACAATCACTTTGTGTATTAGCCGAACAATTAGCTGTCGTTTGTTGCTTTGTCGAGTGTTGAGTTTACCGTTTTACATTCACACGTGTTAAAAGCAGAAATTACTATCTCGGCTTCGCATAAACACCTCTATCTCTATAAGCTGATTATTATGATTGTTTTACTTACTGTTGCTTTTGTTTTTGCTGCGATATGTACTAAACAGGCTTCTAACTAAATAGCAATCTCAAACACTTTTAATGAAGTCAATGACCATAACCTGAATAGCTCTGCAGTGAGTTGCGCTTCATTTCATACTCTCAGCGTTTTACGTTTTCGTTTTCGATATACTGACTCCTTTTGTAACACACAAACAAAACCGAAAATTCCTTCAGACCGAATTATGTTTGGCGTTGCTTCAGTTTTCTGATTTCCCGAACGAAATAAAACAGCGATTGATTGTTCGCGCTAGTCTACGACTGCAGATTTATTCTCTGGATGATATGTGAAACAGATTTTCACACGATTTTTTTCCTCTTCGATTCTTCCGACTCAATTACACACACACGCACACCTCTTTTTTCGATTAGGATATCGCAATATTTTTAAGATTTTTGTTATAGACAATATTTTTTCCTAGAAGAAAATGAAGTGATGATTTTATTTTTTTTTTGCCAAAAACAAAAATTCAAGGCAACAAAACCAATTCAAATACGTGCTAACATTTTTGTAATATTTTTTTTCGTTTTTTTTTTTCTTCTTATTATTTTCTTCTCTTTTCTTTTGGCCACATATAATTTGCAGTCGTTTGAACAGTTCGGGTGCATGGCGTCACGGCATGACTCGTGACCTTGGTACAGACATTGATTCTGTGTTCTCGCCTCCTCGAACCGGAGCCACATTGCCCAAAGGTGAATATCCGTCCATTCATTTCTCAATGTAAAAAAAACCACATACACAAACACACACTATTAGTATCACACAGTAGCTAAAGACCGCCATTCCAAAACAAAACAAAAAATCAAAGAAAATAATGCAAACGAGCCAAAGTCAAAGTAACATACACACAGGGGAAAATGATTGAGCGCAGTAATAATTCCTAATAATATTTAAGAGTTAACCGAAGTTTTTCTGTTTTTTGTTAATTTTTTTTTCTTCTTTTGTGTGAAAAAAATTTTCATAGCTTTTTTCATCTAATCGAAACCACTTGTTTGTAGTTGAACGCATCTAGTGTTATTTGAGTTTGCATTGATCCAAGAAACAAAAACAAACTACAATATTCTTGTTCATGTTCAACAGTTTAGTGTTATCTCGTCGTTCGTTTTTGCGTTGATTTTTTCTGTTTAATTTTTTTTTGTTGCAATAATCAAAATGTACATTTATCTTGCGCTAGACTGTAAACTGTGCGACATTTGATTTTTTCTTTCGTGTTTTCATATTAACTCTCATTATTGTTTCTTTGGATTTGTTTGCGTTAACTTTTCAACGAAATCTTCCCCTCTACTTAGACTAGAAAACAAATTTTCTTATGTAAAAAAACCGGAATGACCTGACACCGGAATGAAAATGTTTAGCGGTAGAAAATTGTTTTGACTCGTTCCTATTTTTTTTTTTCAAATAGCCAAACAAAATGAAAATTAATTAAACCAAACTACAAATCATTCTCCTCTCATTTCATTTGTAATTTTCCGTTGTTTTTTTGTACTTTTTGTTTTTGACATGAATTTTTCTTTCCTGTTATTTATTCATGCTTACAGGGGGATTGCGCATACCAATAACGCATGCTCAAAATTCTAGCAGTCCCTCTGTCGATACACAGCCACAGCAACGACCAGATCAACAGATATAATTCGCCCAAAAATAAAAATCAAATAAAAACCAAAAAAAAAACACACAGACACAAACAGAAATACCACACATTTTTTCCCATTCGATTGAATGATTGGATGCAAGCGAATATTGAGGGAGTGAGAGAGAGAGAAAGAGATATCTTTATAAATCACGCAAACTACTTATTCTTTCGGCCAAAATAAATAAAAAAAAAAACAAACCAAATTCAGCATCATCGAATTAATAATATCGCATTCGTGGATCGCCAAGTGTGTCACTATCTATAATATAAAACCAATATTACTTTTACTAAACCCAAACCAAACCATAACCAAATCTGAACAAAAAACAGCTACCAGAGTATGTGCTACTATCAATTCAAGTACCTTTATTGCGAGCAAAGTGCAGCACGTGAGTTGATTTTTGTTATTTGTTTGTTTTTTTTTCTTTCTGTTTTTCATTTTTATCATTTTAGTTTGATTTCATATGATTTGATCCAGTCGTTTCACATAAAATATTTCTCGTATTAGAATAATGTTTGAGTCTTGCCTTAATCGAACTGTCTATGGAAACCATTTTATTTGTTAGATGTTAACTACTGAATGTTGTGCGAATTTTAGTACTTTTTCTTTTCAAATTTTGGCAATGTTTTATTCTAATTCCGATTTGATGATGATGATGATGACGGTAAGTTATGCTCAATGTTTGTGAAACCGCTTGAACATTGCTGTGCGAGAAACAAAAGAAAAACAGACTCATTCAATCCACATTTACCACAAATATTCATGTTCCATTTTCGTACGAATCATAAATAATAACGTTTCCTTTTTGTTTTCTTTTGCTTTCTTTCTTTTGATCATTTCAGGCGCAAAATTTAGGTCAAGTGGCGAAAAGAATTCAAACGTACAACCAATTGACTACAGCACATCCACATCTGAAAACGCAACCAATCAAAATGACAATAATTTAACGCAACCAAATAATGAAACATTAGATTTAGCCGATCTGGATCTATCGCAATTACGACTCACGAAAAAAGATTTAGAAACATTGTCGTCAATCACACCAAGTCTACCAAAACACTTTCAAGACCAATTACTCGCCCAATTGCCACCGAATCAAGCACGAAAATTGTCGCGAACACTGTCGATGCAGGCCACTGCACGCACACCGACTGTTTATAAACGTAGTTTGAGCAGTGGCCGAGAAGGTGGTGCGGATAATGCTGAACCGGCCGCTTTGAAAACGTCAAATTTGGATGAAGAGAAACCATTGGCTGGAAATGATGAGAAGAGTTTTGCTGGAGATGAGCCACCTTCCTTGCTATCGTTCGATCGGAATTCAGTGCTACGCAGAAGTATATCACGTGGTCGTGATCCAGCCGTGCAAAGACGCAGCACAAGTGCACTACGAAATGAATATCCAAGTACTCGGATGTCATATACCGGAGATTTGCGATCGGATTACAATGCGACGAAACCAAATGATTCGTTAGCAAGCCGCTATCGGCTGACTGACTACACATCAGGAATATCTTCAACCACACTGAGACCAGAATATTACTCAAAACTGCCATTACCAACATCTTCTGCCCTCTCACCGCAAAAATCGCCATCGAATGAAGCGCTTGAATCACCATTCCGACGCCGATCATCACGTGGTTTATCACGTTTTTCCCGCCCTGATTTTTATGGCAGCGCGTCAAGTATCAATGCCACCGATGATAATGCTCTGCTCAAAGTAAGAGACGAAAAAGAGCGTGAAACTCAAAATGTTCTACGGGAAATTCGTGAACGGAGTCGAGATCGATCCAGTACAATGTCGTGCCGAAATGAGTCACATTCACGGGACGCAGAGAATTTGCTAAGTAGCGATGGTTCAATAAACAAAGATCATCGTAGAAAGAGTAGCATACCAAATATTCGAATCACCGTTGACAAGCAAAATGGACGCATTTATCATACACACAACAAAAGCATGGAACGATGCTGTGACATTGACGATACGGAAAAAGTTGACGGAAAAGACATTCGTCGGGCAAGCATGACAAATTCTCGAAGCTGTATCGCTCGTCCGTCAAATCAAAGCTCACAAAAGCAATCGGCTTCCGAATTTACCGATGACATTCTCAGTGAACTGGTGCGGCGTTCAAAGGAATACACTGAAAATGGTGAATCACCGCAGAGGGACGAGAACAAAGATGAGAATGGAACTGTTAAGAAAACCAAGGTCAAGACAAAAGATGGCAAGAAGACGAAAAGCAAACCAAAAGAAATTGAAATAGGTGATAATGAGACAATTGTAAAGAAAGCGAATAATGATCTATCGAATGAAGTTCAGTCAGTAACATTACCGTTGCCAAAATCGAAAATTGCACGTCGCTTGTCGTATCTGAGCAAAGAAGAGAGTGAAAATGATAAAAAGTCTGATGTTATTGATAAAAAGGTGGAAATCGAAGCAAACGGCAGCGTCGTAACAATGAAATCAAATGACGCGAAAGAAGCAAAAGCGTATCCAAATTCAAAGTTAACCCCTCCAAAAGAGGTGACTTTGAAAGTCAAAAAGTCTTCAGTATCCAATTCGATAGCACCAACCAGCAACACTCGCAATGCAATTACAGCCGTAATGGAAAAATTCATAGAGAAGAGTACAGAACGATTGTCACCGGGTAAATCGATGACGGCCATCAAAATCAAAAGTGATTCGGGCGGCGAAATATCGCCACCAAAAACCAAGAAAAAAGTTAAGGTTGTGAAAAAATTGGCCAAAAGTGAGCAATCACCAACGAAAGAACCTAGTCCAAAATCCAATGAAACTTCCAACGAAACGTCACCGGTTAAAGAGCGAAAATCACCGGAAAAGAAATCGAAATCCGGATTTTTGTATTCGATTGGCCAAAAGTTTGAGAAAATGCGTGAAAACAGTAAAAACAAGGAAAAAGAGAAGAAAATCGCCAAAGTTAACGAAACTCCCGTTGCGGCTGCCAGTGAAATCGATATAAAACTGCCGATGAGTACGGTAGAGAAAGAACTGGCCAAAGATGTCGAAACCGTGCAAACAATAATCATCCCACGAAGAGTGAAAGACGGAAAAGGTGAAACCATTCAAAAGGAGGAAATAACCATTAGACAAATCGAATTGCCACCGTCAATTAGCGTGAATTCGATAGCAAAAGGCGAACAACGTAAATCACGCATCGATGCAGTCATACGGAATTTGCGTGAACGTTCCGTTCCGCACACCGCTCGAGTGGAAAATTGTGCAACCGAAATGGCAACGGAATCGGGTTTGCTGAAGCGTGCAGTCAGCGTTGAAGACATGACAAATGGTGCTGTCAATTTTAATAAGCAAGGAAATGTGAACAAAGTGCTCGGTTTGTTCAGACGAATCGAAAAGGAACATCAGATACAAAATCAACAGCAGCAGCAACAGCAACAGCAACAACAACAACAATTCCCCGGCAATGGCGTTAATGGTGAATCCACATCGAAAGAACGTCCAAGATCCGGCGGTTTTGTGAGCAAAATGAAGAAAAGCAACCGACCTTATTATACAGGAGCAAAAAGTGATACGATTGTTACATTGACCGATCAATTTGAACGGCAATATCTGAGCGAAAGAGCGAATAATTTGAAAGAAAGTGCAGCCGCTTCGAGCACAAAGATTCCATTTTTACGATCGTCAAGCATTTCAAAAGCTGAAGCACAACCGGTTAATTTTGAATTTATGACAAACGGCACCAAAGAAAATACACCCATCAATGGTGTCGATGAGAAAACTCCGTCAAAGGATACCAAACGTGTGGGTGTTTCGAATGAAGTGTCAAAACCACAGATTTCAACGGTAAACGTCGATGCCGTCGTTTCTAGTGCTTTAAGTGAAAAAGAACGAATCCGAAACAATAGGAAGGGCTTGGTTTTGGATCTAAACAACGAACAATACAACGATCATTTCAAGAAAATATCCAACGACTGCAGCAATAATAATAATTCATATCATTTTGATGCGAATGGAAAATCGTTAGGAAATCATTGCAACGGTTCGAATGAGAATCATGTTAATAATAATTTTGCCGGCAACGGCAATTATTATCCACAATTCTATCCACATTCCGAACGAAGTCATGAGCCATACACGCCCACCTGTGACCTAGCAACGAATTACTCATCGGACAACCGAAGCATGAGAGATGATTGCGAATCAACTTCAACCTTTTTGTCGCCAACTGATGAGCCTGAACTTTGTTTCGACGATTGGTCAGCATGTTCGGGTGAGTGTTGAACACATTTTTTTTCTTCATTGGTTCAGTTTGGAAAATTGTTTCTATTTTCTTTGTATTGTTATAATTTTTTTTTTATTCATTTCTGTGTTTCTCCTTTAAATTGACGTATTGTACGTTTATTTCTCCATTAGGTTCAACAGATGACCACTTACCATTGCATCCAAAACATTTGAAATACGCATCAACACGAAATCAATCGGAACAAAACCACAATCAACCATCAACCTCAACTGACGCAGCTCCATCGACGCCATCCGATTCAGAAAGTGTGATCGATCGCATCAAACGTCGCAGCTACTACTGTCGATTCAACGAAAAGAAGCCGAAGCGAACGAGTTCGATTGTTGGCCCAAATGCTCAGCGTGAGTATTACCGTGATATGGCAAATAAATCCAAATCGAGAGCATCTGATTATTTGCCATTGACTCCGAATGGATTCCAAACAGATCATCTGTCGGATGGCAGTTACAGTCGAGGTGGCAGCAAATCACCCACTCCAATGAATCTACCGTCGATGAATTTCAAAGAGAGCTCATCGCGAGCGAATACACCCGGCTGCTATTCCAATGCTGATGAGAGTGAAAAATATAAACATCCACAGTATCATTACCATTTCCATCAACGAAGCCAAACCCCATCCCGTTCAGTCAAAAGCTCATTCGATCATAATGATGTAACAAAAAATAAATCGAGTGAGTATCTTAATTTAAGATCGACATTAACATCGCCGCCGGCTGCGATTTCGGTTTCGAAATACTACTCCAGTCCAGTCGGAGCATCGTCATCATTACAAACGAGCGACTATCAACACAACGGAAATCGATCGTATGGACTGAGGAATTCGGCCTATGACAGCCTCACCACACCCATCGTCTATGGTTAGTAGAGATTTTCAAGTTAGACGCAATTGTTTCGGAATTTTGATTTTTTTGATTTTACGCATTTCTTTATGTGTTTTCTTCTTTGCTTTTTCTGCCTTTACGTTTTCTTTCTTTGTTTCTTTTTCGATTCTTCTTCTTCTTTTTTTTGCTTCTTGTGTTTTTTTTGCTATTTTCTTTCTCTTTTTCTTCTTCTTTGCTTCTTTTTCCTCTTTTCCTCGTTCTTTTTCTGCATTTTCTTCTTTTCTCGCATTTTCTCTTTTTTCTCTATTGTTAATTTTTCACATCAGACTGCCCATTCTTAGTTCCACCACATACACAGTAAAGTATCATACACGAAAACACATTTTTTTTTCTACCTCAATTCTTTAGGCACGTACAATCCAAAACGTCGCCTGTCGACATCGTACTTGGCCCCGGCAATTGCAACTGCAAACAGTACAAACGGATACTCAAGCATACCCAAAGATCATTTAAGCACTAGCTGTTATGCGACACTCGGACGTAGCAAGCCAAAGTCGTACGATCATCGATCACTGACAATGTTGGACGCCGGATCAATTACCCCATCGTCCATACTCTCCAAACGTATCGGTAGCACCCATTCAACATTAGATAATCCATACACACATTCACATTATCGTCCCGTTCACGATTATGGCCATTTTAACAGCAGGTATTTCCTTGTTTAACACATCATTGTCCAAACCTCATGATACAATGATCCATTCATCAACTTTCTTTTTTAAAAAAAATGCTTCTTCTAGATCCAATTTGCGCTCACCAACAATAATACCAAGCTCAACTAGCAATGTTTAGATACTCCCACAATATCGCATCAACATTTTATCAACAACGTTCAATCAAAACAGGAAAAGCAAAAAAAAAAGATTAACCACATAAAATACTCGAAAAAAGCCGTTTCCATTCATACTCAAACGCAACATAGGAAATCATTGAATACGTGGTTTTTTCTTATTTTATGGTTTTTAATTCGAATATACACAATAGTGAAAACACACGCCTTAACCCATTTTAAATTCTCGGACATTGTTTTCGACATGAATTTTAGCTTAAATCCATTTTTGTACACGAAAACAACAACAACAACCAAAATCGCAATATTTTACATAAACGATTTTTGATTTTCGAATTTTTACCCTTTTTTGAGTATAATACATGTTTGTTTCGGTCTCACTCGTTCGTTTGCATAATTATTTGAACGAAGAAAAAAAAGGAATGCCAGTGTTTTGACTCTATGAAAAAAAAAATATATATACTGAATCTCCCCTTGATTTTATGCAATGAAACGATAGAGAGAGAAAAATCGAACGTTTGATCTTTCACCAGATTTTAGCAGCACGAATAATTTTTAAAACATAGCATTTAAGAGTGAGAACATATTTTAGCGGCATAAAATGTCTAGGTGATAAGAAAAAGAGATAAAAGAAAACGAAAGGAAAGCAAGGGTGGAATGTGGTGCTTACAATTATTTGAACAAAGTTCAATTATTTTAACCGAATTTATCGGATACATTTTAGAAATGACTTTTTTTTAGCTTCAGGCTTCGTCAATATACAAAATACTTCAAGAAACAAGATCTTTTAAGCAAATACCAATTAACTTACTTTGCCATTATTATTTTCAAGTTTTGTTTGTTCGTTTTCGGTTTGAATTTAGCGCAATTTCGGCGATTTTCATTTGCCGAATTGGATCTTGTTTTATTTATTTATTCTTATGCGAACAAACATGTTGCAATTTTGATATTTGCACACATCAACTTTTAGTTTTTACAATTTTGGATGAGATGAGACTTTGAAAATGGCATTAAACGAAAGAAGAAAAACGAAATAATGAAATCAAAAACATGAGTTAGTCAAACGTAATGCGAGTCAACCAGATTTAGAATTTTAAATTTTATTTTTTAGTTTTGAACAAATGAAGTGGAACAAATGTGAGAAAAAAGAAATTGTACGTTTTAAACAAAAAAAAATGAAACCGTAGTTTGTGATGTAAGGTAGACCTAATCGAATCATATGTACTGGATTACCGCACATTTTTGCGGCCATATACAATAGATTGAATCTAAATAAAGTGTTTTGAAATTACAACATGCACATGAAGTTTTATTTCGGAAATTGATCGACGGTAAATGCTACAATTCAGAGTGTGTCACAGTAAAAGGAATCCAAGAAGCCGCCAGGTTAATCATTACAGTTGCATGATAGGTAAATAATCACTGATTTTTAATTACCATCATGTTTTTGTTTTCCGTATTTTTGGTTTAATAATGCATTGAAGCGGCGCCGATCATTGAGATGTGAATATCGTTTGCATTCAGGATGTCGAATTAGTGGTGTATGGCACCAGTATTGTGCAGCTGATCGGCAGCGCAATTCATCCCATTTTTCTTCAGTTGCCCATGTCGTAGTTGTTTCAATATTGTCGTTTATTAATAACATTTCAGGACTGAAATATATCGTTTTTATTTATTCAAATGCAAAACAAAATGTTCATGAAAAATTCATCTTCTTTCGAAAAACTTACATTTTTTCGTCATGAGGTGCTATTTCAATAAACGGAAGAAAATTAAACATTAGTTGTATTTAAAGAAATAAAAAAAAAATTAAAAAACGAAATTATACTATACCAGCCAAAGCTGCGACGAAACAAAATGATATCAAAACGAAGAACTTCATGTTTACTGGTTCAGTTATTCTCGTTGACTGATGAGTATGTTCGTTCAATTTGGCATTATATACTGTTTGCGGAGAGTGAATGATGAACTAAAAACTTCTACGAAAAAATGAAATCATTTCCTATGTGTATTATATGGTTATAATTTAGAAAATAGAACCGAAATGATATTGCAAAGCATTTGAACAAAAATTCGGCGTTGAAACTTGAAACTGATTGTAGTTAGTTGGTTAATGCATGCAGTCTCGTCTTCGCTGATAACGTAATCATAAAAAAGTGCCTTTTGTAGAAAAGAACTCACTCATAGATAGCTTAAAGTTGAAATTTTGTCCGTGACAAGTCAAAATAAGCGGTCCATAAAAAAGACAAAAAAATATCCGTTTTATCTTTTCGGCGGTTTAACCCTCTAATGCATTAATTTTTCCCAGGGCTGGGAGTATTGGTACTTGGTTGATTTTTGGCCATAGATAATTTAAAAAATATTTATAATCCTGGATTCCTCATGGTTTAGTCAGGAAATGCGATTGACATAAATCAGAGAACAATCAAATCCATTGTTTAAAAGTGTCAAAAATGTGTCTAATTTGGAGTTCGAATAATTTATCTTGTCAAATTTTTGTTTTTGCACACATTTTTGTTTATAACTTTACAATCACACTGCATAGACAAATATTGCGAAAGACAAAAATAAAGAAAAAACATTGACAAATAAAAATTCCGTTTGAAGCAATGTGATCCGATGTACGGTTTACGTTCTACAGGCATTCAAATGTTGCCCGTCTAGAGGCGGTTGTATGCATTAGAGGGTTAAATTACACTGAGATATCGAAGTCAAATTGACTTTGACATTTGTGGACTGAATGTAATTTTAATCGCTGCAAAGACAAAACGGATGTTTTTCGTCTTTTTTCATAGATTGAACCGATTCCTATGACCTTGAAACTTCTACGTACTTCTGGGCATAGTTCGAATATTATTTTGTTGAGAGTTTTGTATGACAACCTCCGAAAGGCACCGATTCCATTTCTTAAAAAACATTCGCTGTTGCAATAAAGCCCCATCAAAATGTTCAAGCGAGTGATAAGGAAATTTCAACTGAAAAATAAAACAAATTAAAACTCAGACGATTTGTTAATTTGATCATGATTTTCGAAATACTATGCATATTAGAGAAAAGGGTTTCTCTATCCAATCACCGACGTTATTTGACATTTATTTCGTTATTCAATTCGGGAATAATAAAAAACGCCATACTATTTTTTCTCGTGCTAATTTTTATTTAGGATATTGCAAGTGTAAAGTGCTAAACATTTATTCAAAATTGTGTCGTACATAATAGACATCAAAACATTGAATGTGCACAAAACGTTAGGTTAAAATTTCGAAAAATACAGTCGGATCAATTATGTGAGCTGCGTTCATTCGGTGAGCGTTTTAAAAGCCATAAAATAAGTGCCAACAGCTCTGAGTAGCTGAAAATAAATGCGATTTCTTTTAAAATATTATCTCAAACATAGTTGGCTGGTATAGAAAAACGTACCGCACAAAAAGTCTCCAAGTTTAAAACAGCTATTCCAAATCCATGATAATACAGTGGTCGCTGTCCGTTCGCGATCATAACGATGATATATTTTTGCAAATTGACGGGCACTTGTTGCCAGTTGGCGTCATACAAATAATTTGGTATTTTTGTATAGCTTTCAGTGGCCACTTTGCCAAAGTAGCAATATACGAAGAGATTCGACATGCTGACCGCGACACAACAGAGTAGAAAACCTAGTCCTCCATCAGGATGCTTAAATTGCTAAAATAATAATATAATTAGGAAACACTAATATTTTCAATTTTGCTCAAAGGAATGACTAGCTTACCAAATCCAATTGAAAAACGGCGCAAGTTAAAAACATTACGCTACCAAACAATTGGATTAGAACAAAATGGCGATAAATGTCAGCTGTTTGCAGAAACCATCTAGAATCAAGCGTAATGATATTTGGTTATTAGGGAAATTTGTGCATTAATTCTACTTATAAGTAGATTCAACATCTTACTCACTCTTTGGTACGGACATGCAAACGAATGATTTCGCAGAGGATTCGGTGATAATTTTGATGTTCACCGGGAAGTGTCAACGCGGACACTTTACGTTGAAACATTTGAGAAAATGCATCATGATGCAAACACATTGAGAGAAACAGCAAAAGAAGTGATCCATTGGAAAATAAGTAAACCTCACAGCTCAGGAGATCAAAGCAAGTCGCAAGAACGTAGCCCAAAACCGTCTCTTGATTCCATGGCAAACTTTTTTAGATTAATAAAACAACGAAAATAAAAAGAAAGAATCTATTTAATATACAACTCGGTTCAAGAGAACGATTTTGATTGAAAATTATTTTCAAACAATTTGACAATCTAAATAAGTCACATGGATTTTTTTTTAATAAGGTTTGACAACTTACACAAGTTTGTGTGCGTGGAACAGGACTGATGCATCGAAATTTCCAATTGCTTTCCAGCAATATACAAGCGAAACGGATACCAAACAAAATACAGTCACACAGAATCCGCCCAACACATATATGAAATACATTTTCCACATCCATTCGCTTCGATTATTGACTTGCTCCAAAAGATCGAATGTCTCATCATGTTTATCTAAATTGAAACGAACGAGATTTCAGTGAATTAACTTTAAAAATGTCGATTTTGCTAACCACTGTTGTAATTTGTAACATCGACTGCATTGATAAATTGACAAATTCACACACATAAAATAGCAAAACTGAATTTTCGTATTTGAATTCCGCGCTGAAAATCAACGGTGAAAAAAAAACAATTTATTTTGTTTGTTCGGAAATTTTGGTTTGTTCGACCGTTCAGTTTTTTTACGTTTAAAATACATATGGCCAATAATTCAATGGGCACGACTGAAAATAGGGTGCGTTTCATTGACTTTGTGATGAAAGAGGAGACTTCTTTTGACTTCAAAATGATCAAAGCTAGGGTCAAAGACGAGTATGATCATTTTTGGCGGTTTATCATGATTTTCCAAAATTCCCGAACGAATAAAACATTTTTTTAAACAGAACTTACATGCATCGTAAATGTCCAATAGTTTGTCAAAAATGGCGATAATTTGCTGGCGGAAAATTATTGCAACGATCAACATATAGAAGGAACCGAAATGGCCCGATATTTGTATGCATGCATACAATGATTCCTTTAAATCTGTCGACGCAAACTTACGAAAGTATAATGAACCTCCAGTAAAATCGCTAACATAATCCAAAATGCAAACCGCAGTAAATGCGCGATAAATGTATATTTTCAGGTTGCTAGTGTCTTCATTAGCACGACAAATAGAAAGCCAAATGAGCACTCGCTGATTAGTCACGAGTGGCTTCATTCGTTCCATTTTGAAAAAGAACAATGATTTAATTTTCACTTGGAACGAATAGTGAAACTGTGATAGACATTTCCGACGCACGAATGTCACCACAAATCTAATACCGTTTTGTATGAATTAGTTTTGAACAATGTGAATGTTTCGTATTTATCTAGAGTTTATATTCCAAAATCTATGGCCTCAAATCAGTACTCTTTTCCACTCGTAACTCAAACTCAAAAGCCTTAGAATCCTTTGAAGCAATTCGAAAAAACACCTCGAGTTCACATTGGTTTTTGTTGGAAGGCAAAATATTTTGTAGAAACATCAAAAATGAATAAGATTAAATTAAAAGGGGTCTCGGACAATTTTTGTTTTCCCTAAGGTTCTACTGCGTACCAAAATCCATGGCATGGAATTGATTCTCTACTGCCTTCAATATATTATTTATTATTCAAATTACGTACAGAACCCGTTGACGTAATTCAGAACATCAGCTTGAGTTTAGATGTGTTTTGTTGAGAATCATTGCAGCAAGTGAAACACACGCCAAATACTTCATAGCATGATTATTAGTTATTCCGTTTGATTTGAAAAAGTAATTGCCAGAAAAGGTTTTCTATTTTGTGTTTCAGTAAACCACAGCCAAATTAAATGGGACAAACAAACAAACTGTCGATACATCAATCAGAGGTTGGTTGCACATAAATTTATTTATATAAATTTCAAATATCAAATAAATTTATCCGATATTTTTCATGCGTCGTGTTGTTCTAACGCATTTGCCAGCTATTCATTGCTGGAATGGGATTTTCGTTTTGTTCATTTACCGTTATTTGTCGACAATTCTGCCACTGTGTCACTACATAGTATATATAGTCCATAAGAAATGTGCAGAGACGAAAATGTTCGCCATCTAGTTTTACATTGCCAATACATTAGTTATGGAGATTTTTGTTTTATTTATTTTTTTTTGTTTGTAAACAAATCTGCCTATCTTTTTGCATTGCCGCTTTACATAGTATATGTCCATAAGAAGTGTGTAGAGACAATGCAAAAAGATAGGCAGATTTGTTTACAAACAACAAAAAATAAACAAAACAAAAATCTCCATAACTAATGTATTGGCAATGTAAAACTAGATGGCGAACATTTTCGTCTCTGCACATTCCTTATGGACTATATATGCTATGTAGTGACACAGTGGTAGACTTGTTCACAAATATCGGTAAATGAATAAAACAAAAATCTCATTCCTGCGATGAATAGCTGGCTGCCAATACAACAGCCGATGTTTCGTTTATGTACTACGAATGCGTCAGAACAACACAACGCCTGAAAAATATGGGATAAATTTATTTGATATTCGAAATTTATATAAATAAATTTATCTGCAGCCAACCTCTGCATTATATCCTTTGATTCATTTCTATCCATTCGAGGGACAAATGAAAATGCGCATCAAATTTATATTTGATGACTGACAACATTTCCACTGATGAATGTCAGTAACTGCATAGCTGAGAATGAAAATATGATATCGCATTTTATTACATGTCAAGTAAAATGCCCCAAAAAATTTTTTATCATGTGCACGAGCAGAAAGTTAGACACGAATTCCCATTTTTATTCATAGTCATTCAATTGCATTCACTTACCACGTGCCCATACGAATCGATACCAACCATGTTGCCTTCAAAACTTCTGCTTCTATCTCAAACGGATTTTGAAACTACATATTTTTGGCCTTGAAAAGATATTATTTTGTCACAAAGGGTTTTGTTCAGTTTGTTAATCATAGCTTTCATTTTGAAAGTTTACTTTAGTAGGTTGTGAATCCAATTTTCCATCGATTCACTGAACAAACAGTTAACAAACAAATGGTAATGTTGGAACTTTTTATGGGGCCGTACAAATGGAAATAACAGAAATCAAAACTAATCATCACAAAATACATTTATATATGTCAATACCTAGTAAATAAAATACAGTGTAATCAAATCATTTCTTTCGTAATTAACAATCTGCTTTGGAGGAAATTTAACATGAAATCTGTATGTATATGATCACCTAGGGGAATATCACGCTTAAATTATTTCAAATATTTCAAAAAAAACCAATTTATCTCTAAGAATCTGTCGTATGAAATATGGTGGATATTTGTGAATACGGCGGAGTATTGTGGATTTTTGTGATTATGAATGATATTTAAATGTATTTATTCGGATTTAATGCAAAAAATCTCAAATATCTCCAAAATCCACAAAAATCTGATTTATTTATTCGAAATAATCGAAGATATGTCATACAACTAATGTTTATTTCAAATATCTCACAAGATTCAGGAGCGTGATATTCCCCTAGATGATCTCATGATTTTTTTTTAGCAAGATTTCACGAAAACTATGAATTCAGAACAATTAATCCGCTTCTGTTTCCATGAGCATGATTGAATCGTGTACTCCAAATTGGGTGCTAAGTTTTCGATTGTATCGTAAATTGATTCAGTCGTAAAATATTCCTGAAACTTAATCGCTGGTAATGATGAACAGATGTGATCCAATGCATTCAACTGTTTAGACCTGAGAAAAGTGATTAGAAAATTCGTTGCGCAAAATGAGAAACGAAATCTCTTGTGTATGGAACTTCTTATTCAGTGTCAGACAAGTTTGCCATCAATTTAAAATCGCTGTAAAATTTCGATGATATATCAAATTTATGTTTCAAGTTTTTACCATCCGGACAAATGGTCACTGTTGGAAATGGAATCATGGAAATATGTGCCTTGTTCTTAGAGTTAGAGAGCGGGTTTTCATTCCAATCCGACCAAGCATTGTGGATCATTGAATCGCATAGACAAAGTGACAAACCAAGGGACACCAACCACCACAATCTATTTGCAATCATTATCAAATGTGAAAATTCGAAATTGATGGAATGTTGAAAAAGAACCTTTCACTCCAATGCAGCCTTCGTTCACTGAAGTATCTCAGCCCATGAATGTTGCTGTTTTGGGTAAATACCCTGAAAAATATCCACGTCCTTCTAACAAATTGGCTCAGCCACTTTTCCTAGTAATTTAACCAAGGGAAAAAATTACCATTGGGAAACTGATCGATTAATTCATTTGATTTCCGTTTGTTTGAATGAGGCCAGTGGTACAATATTGTGGATATTTCATAACATACAAAAACTTGTAAGTGATATCGAATTATCATTTTGAAGTTATTCATTTTGTGTTTCCTTCAGCAACACTCGTTTGTTGTTTTATCGCGACAAAATAAACAGTTTTCTAAAGCAATTCATAACTTCAAATGCAACTACATTCACTTGGTTTGTGTTTCGTTTCACCCAAGTATCGTCATTGACATCGATTACTATTTTGTTCCACTCTTGATTAACCACTCATGTGGCTATGCTACTTACCAGAATTTGAATTTTTCTTTGAACATTTACTTTAAAACAGTTGTGCCAGGCCATTTTCCACTATTCTATTAGCTTTTACTTTTTTTTCTAATAATTTATTTACAAAATCGTAAATGTGAATAAATTTTTCAACAATAAATATATTAGAGCTTGTATTATGAGCTGAAGACCATTTTTACACTGTGTTCGTTAGAACCGAGTGTTTTTTCCGTACTGAAATTGCTTTCAGTCGTTGAATCGTCGGGAACTTTCGTTCTCTATCGGATTCGATTGTGATGTGAACCACGAAACTGTTTGCATTGCATTGCTTGAAAACACCTTACACTATAGTATAGCATATATGCCACATCATCACTCTAACACCAAACTGAGATAGCGATTTACACATATTCAATTCGATGTAGAATTTTTCCCCAAACAAGTTTTTCAGTTTTCAGAACACAGTGTAAAAATGGTCTTCAGCTCATAATACAATCTCTAATTGTGAAGGCAAACATAGGCAAATTCGCAAAATGCGAATAAAAATTCCAACAAAAATATATCCAAACCAAGATTTTATCTTTACACGCGAACCCTTTTTAACTAGTATAGAACCACATTCGTTAAACATTTCAAAATTATTCCAACATTACGTCCAACAGGTTGGACATTACATTTTATACTGGATTGTAAAATAATATCGCACATAACTATGGATATTGAGTTCTAAATGATGATGATGATATTTATTATTGGTCGAAGCGTTTTATGAAAGCATTTTGATCTAAAAAGAGAAAAAACAAATATCAAAACCGACAATAATTTTTCGTTATATTTCCATGAAAATCAAATCCGAATCATCGACCACGCGAACACTGTCCACTGTTCCGCCGTTCCACTGGAAAGTGAACGGTACGTTGAACGCACTCCAACTCGGGCGAATGACAGTTCAAGTCACACATTGACTTCCAATGTGTACTGTCAGACATGTTCCACTGCTGATGACGTTTCATAAAAAAAAATAGTGCTAGCCACACATTCGCTCGTGTGAAAATTTAATTCATTTTATTTGGTTGAAAATTTAATCGTGAAAATGGTGGAGGATACAAATGTGCAGGAGACGGATGTAAAATCAGGAAATGCACCGGTTGAAAGTGAACAAAAGCCGTTATTTTCCATTGAAATTTTGCGATTGATTCGTGATGCACAAAAACAACACGGTCTGCGACACGGTGACTTTCAGCGGTATCGAGGTTTGTGAATTGCATTAATTATAAGTTTGGAGATTGAAACGGGACACAATCATAATATGCAAATTTCTGTTGAAAATCATGTTGTAAATGTTTATTTTGAACATCTTTTTTACGACTCAAACGAAAAAAAATTTTTTGTCTCAAGTAAAACGATGAGTGGTTCCTAATGTTCACTTTCACTTTTCATTGCATATCATTAGGCTATTGTACACGCCGCATTAGCCGACTGCGTAAGGCATTAAAGTTGCCACAGGGCGACAAGCGTCATTACAAGAAGCGTGATGTGACGGTCGCCCATTTGGATGGTGCAACCGGTAAAGTGGCTATTGCTGGGCCAAGTGGTGATGAACGTTTCTTATATCTTCCATTGATGTTGGCCGAACGAGCGTGGTCGTATGCAATGCAATTGCGACAAGAAGGTAATGAATTGAAAAAAAAGTGTTGTTTTATTGAGAAAAATTATTTTTTATTTTATGAATTTTCCCTAATTAACTGTTGTTTTCGTTCGATTCAGCCAACACGGAACCACGCAAGAGATTCCATTTGGTGAATAAATTGCGACGTGCATGCATTTATTCGTTGCAATTGCAAGAGTTGTGCTCGCAAAGTCATCGATTGGACGATAAAACCAAGCTGGAGGTCGAAGCCTATGTGGCGTGTATGCATGGCAATCTACACTTTGAATTGGGATTGTGGCAATTGGCTGCTGAGAATTTCAAAAAATCTCAAATCATCTACGAAAATTTGGTGAAAGTCATTCAAGCCACATCGGCCAATGAGGAAGTGTGCGACCTCTACAGATCAAAAATCGAGGAATTGAAACCGAATTTACGTTACTGTGCCTATAATTTGGGCAGCAAATCCGATTCGGCCGCTACAATTGATGAGATGATGTTGGAGATTCGTCGGGCTCAAGGTGCCAGTTCGCTGATTAATTTGGAATCATTCAAAACGGCACAAATCGAAGGTGCCAAACTCGAAACCATCGAATGGCGCAATTATAAAATTCAAATTCGTTTGCCGGAAAAAGTGCGACTGTTCTTATTGAGTTTGCAAGATTTGGATAAGAGCATCGAACAAGCCAAGACGCTGCAAAACAAAATTGATATTGTTGAAACGGTTCTAATCGATTGCAAAGACAGCATTCAAGCGGCTAAAGATGACTTCTTGAAATCGGATTCAGTACGTAAAGGCGCTGCCGGTGATTCGGCCAGCAATGCACCAACCGTATCGAACAATGTGCAATTGTTGCTCGCCTATTTGAACTACATTCGCTTGATTCGTACGCTTGAACGTAATCTGTATTTGGTGGCACAGACAAAACAAAGCTTGTCATTGGAAAACACCGTGGCTGATAGTAGCGATGCAACGAAGAAAGGAGCACGGCCACAGAATTTGACACGTCTCTATGAAATTATTGCACAGAACGTGCTCGAATTACAACAAATTGCCGGCTTCGAAAACGATAAGGCCTATCAAAATGAAATACAAAACTTGTCGATCGCATTCAAAGCATTCCGATGCTATTACATCGCTATGACATTGGTGTCACTGTTCCGATGGAAAGAGGCCGTCGCACTTTATGAACGTAAGAAACTGCATTTTTTCCTCTCTTTTTTTTTGAATTATACATTTTTCCGAATCATTTGTTGCTTTTTCTAGTTTTTCTTCCATTTTTGTGTTTTTTTTTATTTATCATACTTTCCTTCTTCTCCAGGTTCCAAGAACTATGCGACCGATGCATTGCAAAATCCCCCAGCTCAATTTAATTTGAAACAGGAGCTAACCACACTGCTCAAGGATATTGAAAGTTGTAAATTCTCGGCACATGCATACAGTGTGCTTGCCGATGATGGATCGGCCGCATCGAATGACGGTTTGCTATACCTCGATGGCAGTGGTCGCAAGCAAAAATCACTCAAATCGAAACCATTGTTCGATCGTTTATCGCATTATGTTGAAGATCAACAATTGAATTCAAAGAATCCAAATGTCTACAAATTGACGCCTGACATCGAGCCAATTCCATGCAAACCATTGTTCTTTGACTTGGCCTTGAACTTTGTGGAACTTCCATCGCTCGACGACAAAATCGATTCACCTGTTAAGAAACAGCAACAGCAACAAGGCATTTCTGGTTTCGTCAAAGGTTTCTTGGGCTGGGGCAGCGGTAGCGGCGCTAAATAAACACATTTTTAATCGACCTTTTTATATTCGAGTTTTCGCGCTGTTTTAAAATACAATTGTTCTTTTTTTCCATTGATATACTGAAATACAGAAGAAAAAAATAAAGTATGAAAAAGACGCTGTGGGTTTTTTTTTTGTTTACAAGTATTTATTTCTGAATGCACAAAACATTTTATTACAAACTTAAAAATTTGTCTCAATTATTAATGTCTTTGTTCTTTCTCTGTGTGTGTGTGTTTGTTTGTTTTTTTTTTGTACAACAATTTAAAAAATTAGAGACTTTTTTTGTTGTTATATTAGCAATAATATGAATCCATCATATGAATTTCTGTAATGTTTTTTTTTTGTATCATTTTCTTCTTCTTTACATTCATTCAAAAGAGAAAGTCGTCAATATATGTGTTGTATTGATTCCTTTTTTTGGTTTGCTTACAATTTAAAATTACATTTAGATAGGAATTTCTAAAATTTGATTTCGTAAACATTTATCATTTGGAAAGAATTGTGTTTTTTTTTTTGTAATTTTTTTTTCACTTTTTTTTTGGGTTTAGCTTGAATCGAAAAATAAAGGAATAAAAATCAAAATAGAATTTGAAAAAAATCACTAACAAGACCAAGTAATCTGGACATGATTCACATATTTCGCGCCAAACAATCAACCAACATATAAAATCAAAAAAAATTCACTTCGAATTGTATATCAACAGAATTGATTGAAATTGGGGTTGAAAAAAGAGCATGCAACGAAATCCAAATGAAATCCACCAGAAACAACCGAAGAGACTGTATGAACTCTTTGAGAAAGGGGGCGTACTGTATTCATATGTGCGATTCCATTAAAAACAGTATATATCGAATTGAAATTTACAGTATAAATAGTAAAAAATATGATGAACGACAAAAAAGTGTTTGTTAGTTTTTTCCTTCATTTATCAACAACAATTTGAATGAAATGGATTATAAATTGGCTTGTTTGTTTTCATTACATTTTTTTCTTCTTCTCTTTTTGTTGGTTTTAAAAACATTTACAGAGTATTTGTTTGTTTTTTTGGTTGTCCATTAAATTCTCAACTAGTCTATGTAATTTTATTTTTTGGTTTATTATGGAATGCCTTTTGGACTATGTGTTGGTTTTCTTACGTCAAAAATAGTTAGCAACAAAAATACACATCAATATATTTTGGTTTTTTATTTTGGGGTAAAGTTCATGTTTGGTTTTTAAAGAGTTAGTATTTTCTGTTCTTGTTATATCTGCTTTATATTTTCATGTTGGAACATTTTCTTGAAATATTTCCTGTTTTCAAATATATCATTCCGAAATTCGAGATAAGATTTTCCGGAATGAATCATGGTTTCATTTTCAATCCACGCAATGTTCGATAATTCAGCTGTCAATTGGGTTTTATTTGTTTTTGTGTGTGTTTATTTTTGGTATGAATTGGTTTTACGGAGGCTATTTAAAATGAATGTAGGCCGATTGTTGTTTGCTTCTTCGTCTTTCAACTGAATTTAACAAGTTGAAAGTGATTGCGAAAATTCAACTGCTTTTCACGTTTCATTGCGGCCACTATTTCAATTTTGTCAATTGTTGGAAAATGAAATGTCAATGGGTTGTTATTTTCGTTTAAATATTCAGAGTTGCTTATGTGTTATTCATGTACTTGGGTAGCGCTTAATTTGTGTGAGCAGCAATTGTCAGGCTTGCCGGCAAATGAGTTGTTTTTTTTCTGTCGTTTTTCTTTTTTGCTTCATCGTGTCTAATCTATTTTCTTTACCTATTTTGAGCGTCAAGTTACATCATATTCTTAATGATGATTGATGGCATCTAATATATGTCCCTCTTAAAATTTTTATGCATTTTTTTTTCACTCTGTTGTAGTATTTCTGTGATGTTTTTTTTTGTTGTTGTTGGTTAGGTATTTATTTGTTTGTTTTGTTTGAATAGAATAAACATTCCGTCATCGTTCGTCTTAATCTATTTAAATAGTAATTGCTGTGTTTACTGCATGACATTCGAAGCATGTTTTTTGCTTTTAGTTTATGATTTCAATGACAAACCGAAGATGAAACGAAAATAGTTGATGTTTTGCGATTGATCGCCATGAAATAAACCAAATACCATATCCAAAACTGAAGAATTTGTTTCGTTTTGTGAATGGAAATCAAGACAAGTTAGCCATGGGATCATTGGCAAAAGTCACGACTCGCCAATGTATCCGGCTGCATAAAGTTGGGCAATGGATTTTCTACTTTTTCAGGTTTCTTTCTCTTTATATATGTTAGTTTAAATTTACATAGCGAAAAAACTGTAGTTGTATCTTGGTTCGTATGATATATGCTTAGTAATGTTGCACCATCCAGGAATTTTTTTTTCGGGCTGTTTGTTTTTACGGTTACATATGTCTAAAATCATGTAATTTTAATGCAATTGTTTTATTTTTCATTGTTACATCTATGTGACTATTTGCTCTCTCCATATGTCTGTCTGTACAGGGTTATACTTAAGTTGTTTTTTTTAAATATGGTTCCATGGTATTTAGTATTTTCTTTCACATTGAATTTTCAGGGTGATTAAATAAAAAAATAGTCAAATTTTGTGTATTTTCTTGCTTCTTCTCCGTTAGAATGATGGCTCAATTACATTTATGAAGTTTTAGCTTGAATTTGCCTGGTTTTGAAACATTTTAGGAAAATGGATCATCAACTTATGTATAAAGTTTTAAGTGTAGCAAAGCGATTTCCAATATGTACTATGCCGAAAGTATGGTAGAAAGAAGAATTTTTCTCATTGCATCAACATTCAGTTGTTGCTGTGGTTTTTATTTCTTCTTTCCATTTACTTTCATTTAATATTTTTTATGTTCTGATATCTTAAGATTCTAAACTGGAGCAAATCGTTTTTAAAGTCAATATGTGAAGCAAATCGAGACATATCTCAATCGATAAAGAATGGCTAGAAATGGTGTGTTTGTTTCAAAACCTAGGTAAATACCCAGAGGGCCTGAGTCAATTTTACGTATAGAAATCGCAATTTTTTGCTCCTCTTATTGCTTATCTCGATTTCGTCATTCATCAATTTGGAGCGTTTAAGGTAGATTGACTTGATTAGGATTTTTAATCACTCTACAGTATCTCGGCCACCAAAAAGTGATGACGAACCTTGAATTTGCTCACACATTTTTGGAAGAGCTCGAAATAAACGATTTTTATACATAAAATTTGCTGGACAACACACAATCCTTGTCTATATCATAAATATCTGCTCAATTGGATTTATCCCTTGTCTATCCGCCCTTTTTCGATTGCGATATGGCCCAATTAGTTTCGCACATTCGTTAAAAAAACCGATCCACCCTATTCTATACTCTCTTTAGGGTATTTTGTGTTGTGTCATTTTGTACTTAAAGGTCACCGAATCCAAATTACATGCATTTTCTCTTATGATTTAACTCCGTGTTTGTGTGTGTTTATGTTTCTTGATTATATTTTTGTATCATCATCAAAATTAATGTATTCAAGCAATGATTACAGCTAGTGAGAATGGGCAGATGTGTACCATTTTGAATGTGTCACATGTTGAAAATGAATGGTTGCTCTTTTATTATAAACTCATCAAATAAAAATAGACGTTTTAAGTGATACATTTTTTTTCCTTCTTCCCAAAGCAGAATATTCATCGAAACAATCTGTTTCACATACAATACAAAAAAGATTTAAAAAATGAAATCAAAGTGGGACTCTACGGGTTTTTTTCCTCAGTTTTCATGAAAATGCTTAAAAATGCTAATAACATAGTTTGTTTTTTCTCTTGGTTTTCGCAAAAAAGTAAAAAAGAACACCGAATCACTTATGAATACGTATTATTTGTAATGAACGTTACGAACGAAAATCAGATGTACTACATAACCATTGCTGGTTGTTTTTCTTTTTTTTAAGTTTTATCCGTCGAGAAAGAAAGTGTTTATGATCTGAAGTGTTTTTTTTTCGTCGAATGGTTTTTTTGTTGTTGTTTTTTTTTTTAAATCAAAGATTTGAATAAAGATTCGTCAATGAAAAGCCCATACAAAAATGTGTTGTTGTTTTTTATAAGTCTTTCTTTGAATACAAAAAATATGTTCTGTTTTTTTTTATTCCTTGTTAAGTTAAATGTATAAAAATTGCCAAGTTTTGCTTTTCATGCCTTAATTTAGTAATTTTTGTTTTTTTTTTTTTCGAATCGATTACGACACACAAAAAAATCTTCTTTCAAGAAAAATATGTTATTTGTTTGTTTTTTATCTTCCATTTTTTTAATCAATTATGAGCGTGATAATATCTAGTATCCGATTCGTCCGCTGCCGCGGTTATTCATAGTGTTATGACAAAAATTTGATGTTACTTCAATGTCTTTAAATATACCGATTTGTAAAAAAAAGAACCGAAAATCAAAGATTTGAGGATATTAGAGCTTGTTGGAAAATAATTTTATATTTTTTCTTCATCTTTTTCTTACAAACGAAATTTTAAACCATTTTTGTGTGGTCTTTGTCAAAGAACACGAGATTTTATATTTTTATTTTTGTTTTCATTTAATGACTAATTAGCTTGTTAGCTTAGCCTAGAATTTCTATGAAATTCCGTTTTACTTACCCAATAAATGTCTTTTTAGATGTAATAATATTTCATTCAGCAATAAATGTTGTTTGTTGTTGTGAAGTTCGTCAATTAAATACAAAATTTTGACTCACAAAATGGATGCTTTTGTCTCTTAATACTTTCATTGGTATGATGCCATAATTTAGTCGTTAAAACTACGATTAAATTTACTTAATTAGCATGTGTGGATGTTATTCTTATGGCTTATAAAATTAGTGTAAGTGTGTTTGTCTTACCACCCGTTTCTTCTTTCTTTTCATTCTATTCGGAGTTGTTTTATTTTCAGTGTGAGCATGACATACACACATACATTTGTGCTGTGTTCGAGATGGAAAAATAATTTTCTTTTTTTCTTTCTTTTTCATTTTCAGCATCAATCATTTTGGCTCTATACAGATTTCTAATTGAGTTGTATTCCAAGTGGTCTTTCACTACAGATCCACATGGAATTTGAATTAAGAAATGGCGTCAACGTCTTTCTATCTCCTTTCTGTCTTAAATTAGACAAAAAACAAAGAAACGAAACACAGTGTGAATTCTATCAACCAAATATTACCATACATTCGCATTTGGTCTCTGTGTTACACGTGTCGGAATTGCGCTCTCTTAACATAACACTACTGATACAGAAAAAATAAAAGTTCGCGCCACACACTACACTGTTTTCTACTTTTGAGTCTAATTTATTGCTTTCGATTGAAAATGTCGTAATTTATATTTTTTTTTTCTTTTTTTTTTCCAAAGGGAAGCCGTAATTTAGTCATAGTTTATTAATGTGAGCTCGGTGACGGGCTCCGATTGGAAAAATGAAGCAGCGACAGACAAACAGCTTGTAGTAAACTGATTAATTAGCGGTAACATAAAAGAAAATCTTCAATCGCATGAATTTGAAAACTTAACCGAAGTGAGTGAGTGTGTGTGTATGTGTGTGTGTAAAAAAGTTATAGCAGGTACTTGAAAGAAGCGTTTTTCCCGTCAACAATTCCACGTGATGGACGCACGTTTATTCCAATTTTATTGTAATAACAATCTCTAAGAAACGGAGTAGTTTAAGCGGCTGTGACTTTGCTTCATTGAAAGCCATGTCAAAACAGCATGCCACAGCTCACGTTTCAATATCGCTCGTTCCGATATCGATGGAATCAATTGAACGATGATAATAAGTTGTGTGGGCGAATTGAATGTTATTCTTTCGATAGAACGGTAATCGTAACCATATTCCCATCGAAATTCAATTCCAATTTCAAGAAAGTCATGTAATGATTTTAATTATGTAGTTTGCTTTAATTTTTTATGCTTTGATCAGTGACCAAACATCGTTTCCTTTTTGATATGCAATGAGTTTTATTTCGTCCTAATTTTTGACGCATGACACTTTTTCACCTACACTATTCATGAATGGCATGAAGTCGAATGGAATGTGTCCATTTAAAATATACTCTGTCTTCAGTTGTGATTACGTAGACTGTTTATTCCTCTCAACGAATCGGCCTGATACGGTGTGATTAAGTGTTCTGTATCAAGTTGAAACTTTCAACTATATTTAAACAACCATTTTTCTTTAGAAAAAAAAACAGGTGTTCATTGGTATAAACAGTAGCTCTGGTTTGTTCTTTATAAAACATTTTCACCTGTGTCCGTATGAACCCACAGGAATGTTTCAAAGAATTGGATAATTGTATATTAATTTTATTACTATAGAAAAGCGGAATATTCTTACAATCTCTTACGTTCACTTTCTACGCTATGTTTTTTTTTCTCTATATCTCTCTCCCTTTTGTATGTCAAACTGGTTCAATATTTGCAACTCCGTCTCTTCTATAAAGTATAATAAAAATTATATATCAACTAATTTATTTTCATCTCTTTAAATAGAATTTCGTATTTTTTTTCCCTTAAAATGCTAGCAATATTAATGTCGTTTTTATGTTCATCAGAAGTGATAGTTTTTTACTCTCCTTTTTTGGAATAAATTTTTTGGTAATTTTTACATAGATTTTTGTTGTTGTTTAAATGTCACTTTGACTATCGTCGATTACTTTGCATTTCGTCTTCACTTTGTGAAAATACACAGATCTTTGTAACTGGAAAGGAACAAACAGAAACTGAAGAACAAACGAATGGAAATGAAGTAAAATGAAAAGAAGTAAAGCTGTCCATTTCTTAACCCATACACGCTATAACTATCCAGATATAAATGGTTACTTATTGTGTCTAGAATACGCTTAAATGTTACGTCGATATATGCATGTTTTATGCTCTGTTCGGTATATATATAAATATTGCAGCGCGTTTTCTTCATACATCGAAATCGACATGGATATATTTTATGCTCTTTTTTCTTTGTTTTCGTATAACCATCATCCAAATAGACCGATATGAATCTGAGGAAGTAGCAGCGCATTTCTCGACAGCTCAAGGCACAAATGAACTTCAAACGGACTTAATTAAAGTGAAATATATAATAGATTTTGTTAGCTTTAGCCACGATTTGAAAAATGAACCCATTCATGGGCTGTCGGAAGTATTTTGTAGCCACCACCTCGGGGTCAAATCGGTCATTTCAAACATTCTTTTGAAACTAATACAGGAAGAGTGAAAACAAAGATAGTGAATAAGAACCATCCAGAACCCAAAAGAGAATAAGAAGAACTCCGAACAAGAAACAAGAAACACTTTTCATTAGCTTCGCTGTAGAAAAGGACAAAACCGAAAAATAAACAAATTATACATCGAATGAAATAAAGAACAAACAAAAAGAATATGCTTTTGGTTGGTTGTTGTTGTTTTTTTTTTTCTGAAAAATTAGCACAGATTTTTATTTCGATCATCAACGCACTAAAAACGGTAAAAATGTCTAATAAAAAATAAAGCATAGAAAATGTATTAAACTTAAAACAAAGTGGTCATAGATAATAATAACAAACAACATAAAAAAATATCATTTATTTTCTATTTTTTTCTTCTTTAAATCCAAGTTTCGCCTCGAAAATAAAACATTGTTATATACTCTGGGCTCTCGCTCTCTGATGCACACACACATACATACCGCTGCTTTAGCTATTTGCATTTTTATTCCTATAGATTTTCCTACATTGAATGGGTATCAGAGCGCAATCGAGCACATTTGGAACACCTTTCGAATGTCAAGGACAATGCAGTGTTGTCAATTCCTTATTTAAACCGAATCGACTTTGGGGTAATAAAAGAAGATAAAGTTTTTGAGCCTTTTCTTTGTTTATCCACGGCACAAATTCAATGAAGGGCAGACAAAGTTGCTAATCGAGTAACTGTTCTACTTTGTTTGGCTCTATTATTACGAATTTGATTGCGAGTAACTTGTGTATACAGAGTTATTGCATTTTTTACGGTTGTCCTGAACAAAATGTGCAGTGTATACACAATAAAAACGAATTAAAACTTGTAAATTGATCGCATTGCAAACTGTTTAGTTGCACACAACCCGTTTTACTTTCGGTCATATTTGGGCTGCATTCCGAAAAGTAATCCAAAAGCACCAAATTGCATATCGTTTGCTCATTCAAATGTGACAACAACAGAACAAAAAAAAAACTGATTAAAACTGTTCCATTTGACTACTGGCATTCTACTAGTGTTCTTTTTTCATCATTTTTCTTTCTCTTTTAAATACAGCTTTCTTTCATTCATCGTGTTACAAAAAATAGAAATAAAATCATTTGATTTGTTTAAAAAATATTTATAAAAATTGTGTTCGTTCTTCATTTTTTTTTTCTTCATTAAATTCTATGTGATTATTTTATTTTCATCTTTTTCTCTGGTATTTTTCATCATTGCTTGGTAATATAAAAATATCTATGATGTTTCAAGAAAAAACAAATTAGATTCTAATGTCTCCCTCTATGTTTTTTTTTGTTCGGTTTATGTTACAATATCATTTGCTACTATGAACTCACTAGTAAACGAAACGGAACGAAACGAACGAAAAAATAACGATTGATGTTGATAAACATAGAAACAAAACCAAAATAATATACAAATCAAACGTAAAAAAAAAACGAATTGTCTAGTTGGAATTTAACCTAAAACCTACTAGTCGTTACATTTAGCTACGATTCATCTATGTTCCTACATCTTTTGTTGCTTCTTCGAATTTCCTCTATTCAATCTAATATATATATATATACTATATGAACCATTGCGACAAACAAATTTCCTCAAATTATTTTAGTTTTAAAGTGCAACATAACGTTTTTTTTCATATGGAGTTGTTGTTGTAAACTCTATATAAAAAAAATTCATGTTGCACTTTGAAACTAAAATATTCTGAGGGAATTTGTTTGTCGCAATGGTTCATATGTTCGGGCTAACAGTAGAAAATAAAACACTTGATAAAATCAAAACCACCAAAATAATGTACAGAGAGAAAAGAGATCGAATATGGAAAATCATATGAAAATTTTTGAAAAAAAAAAAACTTTCATTCATTGTGTTGTCCATTCTGTTGCACGCAATCGTAGACGATTAACTTTTCCTTTGGTTCGTTCTGTTTCTCTCTCTACAGTTTTACAGCACATACATATATCAATAGAGATTTTGTTTTTGTTTTTGTTCAACTAACTTCATAATACAACTACTATGGTGATTAATTTCTTTCATATGTACGAAAGTTATAACAGGAATAAAATACATGATTTTTTTTTGCTTTCTGTTATTTCTTTTTCATCACTTACAAAAAAGAGAAAAATTCTTCGATTATTAGCTACATAATATTAATTCAGTTATAGGTGTATTTTTGTTTCTTGTGTCTATACTTCAACATTCGGTATATAAAGATTAATTTTTTGTCTGTATTCTGGCTGGCTATATGCAACACTATGAATATGTTTAGTTAATCTGTTTTTTCTTTATTTTACAATGAACTCTGTTTTTTATGTTTTGATCGAAATCAAGATTTCGATTCCAATGTATGTGTGTGTGTGTGTGTGTGTGTTTAGTTGATCATCTTTTCAATAATCTATATAAATGTAGACATTTTAGAGTAAATTGAACGCATTTTCACTTTAAATATTGTATTGTATAGCATTAGATGTCTGAATCTGATGGCAATATTAAAAATAGAATTTAACATCAATAAACTTTGAAAAAATTGAATGTATGGTACTCTTTAACTCTCTCCATGTGTATGTGTTTTTTTTTTAAATCGCTTTCGCTTTTATTTTCATTTTGTTGGTTTTTCTATAAATTTTCCGTCCGGTAGCTTTCGGTCAAATTTCGTTAAAAAGTCGAACTAAAAATGACGCCCAACAGTTTGACTGTTTCAGTTTGTTTGTTATTTTGTTTTCGGTAATTGCAGCCGCATTTCGTTACGATACAGTTTTTGTTATAAAACATGTATGAAATGGCAAACCACCCTTTTTGTAGTTGGCTAACTTTTTGTGGCCAATTTTTTTTTCTTTCCTAAATACTCTTGCTATGTACATCGGGGGATTTTGTAAGAGGATGGAATATTTTGGTGGCGAAAGAAATAAGGGTAATTGCGAAAATACGCTTTTGTGTGTAAAACCGTAAGAGCATTAGAAATCTCTCGTTGCGCTGAGATGTTGTTTCAGCGAGCAAGTGCTCGTTAGTGCAGATTTTGGCTGCAAGTTTTTCGCCCAATAAATACGAATTTTCCATTACGTCGAATGAATTTTCAATGTGGTTCGCACCGCATTTTGGTAACAACAAGCGAGGAGAATTGAATACGCGTCCATTTATGACGAAATATCGTTGAAAAACGAAACACAAAAAGAAACGAATGAGTGCGAGTGGCAGGTGGCACGAGGGCGATCTCTGTGATTTTCTTATCAACAAAAATGGTATTTGCAAATTAATTCGACTATTTCAACGAATCGACAATTTAATTTCATTGTTACTGCAATTATTGTCGCTATTCGGTGCTGAAAATGACTTCAAAAACATAGACTCACATCGTTTTTTTTCTCTCTCTTTTTTTTGGATGCATGCAGAATAGCACTCGAAAGAACTTTTTCTTTCTTTGTTAAATATGTGTGTTTGTGTTTTTTTTTTGTGACTTAACCTGTTCGAACGTTTATTAAAAGTATACATTTTACTTAGTAATCATCACCGAATATCAAAAAAGCGTTTGATTGGTATATTATTCGAATTTTTGTTTTTTTTTTTCAAATGAAATTACTTTTAGCCAATTCGATTAGCATTAACTTCATAATTTGTTTGTTTTCTTCTTTCATAAAAAATAGTTTATATAACACAAAAGTTGCACGTCTTATGGCATTTTGCCCGCTGATCTTTAGCTTTATTATACTTTAAGTAAACGTAAACTAAAATTAATTTTAAATGTAATTTTTCTCTCTTTCCTTCTCTCTTCCTCTCACTTGTTTTCATTGAATTGTTTTTTTATTTTATAAACGCACACGAAAAGAATTCTACAAAAAATGGTAAATATTCAAAAAAAGTTATCATTATCCGATTAGTTGCTAAGTGTGTTCTTGTGTATGTATCTTTGTTGACACCATTTCATGTCCTCTTTTTTTTTCTCTGGTTATAAAATACAAAAATTATGGTATGAAATCAATTTTCACGCCTTTCGTTCTTTAGAAAAAAAAAGGAAAACACAAACATTACGATCTATTACATCTAGACATTATGTGTTACAAAGAGAAAAAAAAAGTAACTAGTAAATAAAAACCAAAATTAAAACTCAATCCAAACGAAAAATCACAATGGTTGTTTGTAGAAATAGAACATGTTTCGTTTTCTAAATCATCGAATAACGATTCGAAATCGGTGTATGTGTGTTTTGTTGTTGTTTTATTTCTTCTTCACGGTATAGTAAAATGAAAAAAAAAATCGATTTGTTTCTATAAAAAAACACTTCACATTTGGTAATTAGCCATTCAAGTGCATCCGATTTCTGATATAGTAAAATGTCCAATCGTGTGTGGCTGCAAATTTTGCAACTGTTGACGTCATGTGAGAATGTTCTAATTCAAATATGTTCAGCACTCGTTCGGTGTGTGAATGTTTTATGGTAAATTTTTCTCTTTTCTCTTCTTCTTCTGTGTTTACTTTCTGCTTAAACTTGCATAATTTTCTGTAAGCCTTTTAGCTTTTGATGAGAATAAATCGTATATATACGAAGTCACGCTATAGGTATTCGCCCTTAACACATTTTTGCTTGTTTTCACTGTACACACTTAAAGTTTAAATGAAAGAAAAAAATGAACATTTTCTCTTTCGCTCTTTCGTTTTTTTCTTTTAGTTTGATTGATAGAGTGGAAATCCAAAGTGAATGGTGTGTGTTTTGGTTTTTTTTTTAGTAGAAGTGCGGTCGAGTTTAGTTGGCGACCAAGAGATTGATATTCCCTGTATTCAAATTGGATTCCAATGTTTGGTGGTGTCCATTTGTCATGCCGTTGATATGAGGAGATGGTGCACCAAGTGAATTCATCGCATTCGATGGCTGTTGCTGTTGACCATTTGGTAACCCATAGTAATTGCTTGTGTCGATATACGGTGAGTATTTACTTGCCGTTCCATTGCCAATGTTACCGTATCCATTCGAATAGAATGACGAATTCGAGCCAATTGTATTGGTTGTATTGACCGCACTAGGGTACGGATTGTTTGGCTCGAACAAATTGTTTCGGCCATATTGCGGTGGTGAGTACATGGCGGATGAGTTCATATTTGAACTATTTGTAACGCCAGCCGATGTTGAGAAAAAGAACGAATCATTCGGCATATTTCGAGATGACATGTTTGTTGTGTTCGTTGCAGCAACAGCAGCAGCAGCAGCAGTAGCAGCAGTAGCAGCACCACCACCGGCACCGCCATTCATAATGGCAACAGACAGTGGATTTGGTGATAGCGAACGAGCTGGAGATACGGGACCAATCGAGCTCAAATGACCGTTGGTCGTTGGGCCAATCGGTGTCATGGCATTGTGACCATTGTGGGAATGATGACTTTGTTGCTGAATGGCTCTCTGTTTGATATAGTTCGAAAATTCAGTTGGTGACATGCGACTGAAATGGAAGAAAAAGGATCGAACTCAATGCTATTTCTAAATACGATCAGTTTTCATTCATAAAAAACGTTAATAAACAGCAAAAAAAAAATCTGTAAAAATTCGTCAATAAAACTAGATCATAAAATGGACTATCACGTTCGACTCACCTGTTTGTACGCTTTGAATTGGTTTTCAATTTTGTACTTCCGAATTTCGTTGCCGCGAAACTGGCAGTAGTGAATGTTAATGGAGCGTGGGATCGTGGCAAAAACGAATTGCCAACACCGTTGGAACTGCCGTTACCGTTGCTATTACCATTGCCATTGCCATTGCCATTTGCATTGCCGCCCCCGCCGTTCGAATTATTTGATGACGATGTACCGGGCGAACCGTTTCTGTTTTTCATGTAATTGTTGGCCGAATTGGCTGGACTCGGTGCTGATGTCGGTGGTGAATTTTGTGGTGATGTTTTTGGACTCAACGATAATGCGCTCAGCGATGAGCTAACCGCATCGATTGGTCGAAAGCATTGCGCTTCTGGATTGAATGTCTTTGTTACTTCACGATCGGCCGACGATGTATCTTCCGAATGGCGATCATGTGATTCAGAAATCAAAATCTTGATGGTACCTTTCTCACCAATGCGATATGACACCTCTCCGGGGTCAATCCATACTGACAATTCATTTGGTAAATTTTCCAAAATATCACTTATTGGTACACCACTTTCGCGTGCGGCACGCTCCAGAACGGCATCGGTGGGATCACCAGTTTTCAGGCATCGAAATGCAGAGCCCTGCATATCCAAGAAGAGAAAAAAATGATGTTTTAGCCGAAATGTAACAAAAAAAATATATAAACGGGTCAATTTTGATGCGTGGTTCGCTGTAAAATATTTCGGAATTGAGAATCTATTTGTGAATTTCGTTACTTCGTTTAACATTTATGGCTTAACAGTACAGACATTTATTGCCTTTTATAACCTCACACGATAAATGGCCGAACAAGCGATAAAATAAATTTCGTTGAATTTTATGGGTTTCGTTACTTTTGTAATTGGTCGTAGGGTGTGTGGTTTTACCTTCTGTTTCACTCACATACAGACACAGAAATAGAACACACACATAGTTTCATTGAAAAATATTACAAATTAATGAAATAAAACTGATTCAATTGTTGTATCTATGGTTAGTGCGGAAAGTCAAAACAAAACCTCAGAAAAAGAAGAGACGAAAAAAAACGCACAAATTTCATTCTGCAATCCCGCCTTTGATATCACAATCGTATAGAACGAGAGAGAGAGAGAGAGAGAGAGAGAGAGAGGGCGAGAAAGCAAAGTGTGCTCAATGCCGGAATTCTTTGAACAATTTTCAGAGAATGAAAATTCAGTAGAAAATTTTGAAATGTGTGAACAGAATGTAAACAACAACAGAAAAAAAAAATAAATCATCCACAAAGACAAACTATTTTCTTCTTCTATTACATTGTACGGTTGCGTATCGCTGTATACAGAAAGTAACCGAGGACGAGTTTATCTCTCTACGAAAATAAATACAAAATAGTAGCATCCACCACAGTAACAGCACAAAAACAACCATAAAATCGTCCGTAGCTTGGGACAAAAACAACCATAAAATCGTCCGTAGCTTGGGTTTTATGAGGTGAAAAGCGAGCGCAATAGTTCTAACACGGCAAAAGGCTTTTCTGGACCTGACGAAGTAAAGTCAGAAAAAATAGCATCACCATTCGGTTTGAACCACGTTCTATGGTATATCACAGGTATTCGGAGTAAACCGAGTGTACCGGCTGCAATTGTTGATGGCAAACTACCGACAAGCTTTCTTCCCCATCCAGGCCAAGCGGTAATTTTTCTTTTGCTTCAAATCATCCGATAAAATAAAACAAATTGTTGAATAAATATTATTAAAAATGATAGCAGCACCGTAGAGCGGTGTACATTTTTGGATGTCGTTTTCCTTACTCAACGCATAGGCAGTGATGATGTCGTCCATTAAAACGTTAGACCTTTTGTTTTGGTATGCCATTTTGTGTATGCGTACATGCTCGTATGTATGTGAACAGTGCGAAAGAAGCGAGGCTGTGTGTGTATGTACGAAATGAATGATGATTAATGAACGAAGCTGATGCGATGCCGTAAACGGGGGCCAACACACAAGACCATTAGAGATTTATTTACTAGATTTCACGTGAGCTTCCACATTGCATACATCGGGGAGAAGGTGTGTGTGTGTGTGTTTTTATATGCGTCGTTGGAGGTGGAAGTTGTTTGTATTTCATATTGTGTGCCCTCGGTTGTTTGTTTAGATGTAGAAAAACGTTCTGGCAAATGTTATAATTGTAATGTGGTTAAGGTTTTGCTTGCAATTCCTTTCAGATGCTCATAAACTTGGCTTGACGTGCATATTCACGTCGGTCGCAGTGGCTCAGTGCCGCACAGCCAGATATAAAGTGATATAAGCAAGCGAGAGTGGGAAAGCAATAGAGGCAGTGTAGAGAAGGAGAAAAAGGAAAAAATATAAGAGCCAGAGAAATATTATGGCATAATAAATAACGAGGCATATGTTTTGGCATAGAACAACCATAAAATTACACCGTTTGAATGTTCCAATCTGTATAAGTAGATGCTGTATGCACCTTCACACAAACTCACGTGGCATTTTTGTTCCTTTTTTTCGCTCTCTGACACACTCACATTTTCCCGGCTGTGCGAAATACAATTACTGTTTGCAAACATCGTTGCATCGCGAGAAAACATCATCATCATCACTCGTTGTGTATTTGATCAACTGACCAATCAATGTCATATTTCAAATGAGAATGTACTGTCGACACATACACATATATCTCTGATTCTCTTCAATCTGAATGTGCGCGTCGTTACTACCGCTGCCGCTGTCGATTCATTCGCTTCGCTAAATTTATTACAAGTGAGTGAAAATCATCACTCAGTATTGAAATTGGAAAGCTGCTGATTAATCGTGCCTCAGCGACTCTGGAATGTGTGTTGAACAAGATTCTATCACTTGCAGAAATGTTGATAGCTCATTCGTTTAGATAATTAATAATAAAACTAATCCCAGGTACACACACGTATTGCATTTGATAGGAATTTATTGGTAAAGTTATTCACAGGTAAACCCAAATAAAAAAAAAATCAGACTCAATCGAGAAAAAAACAGAGCGTGAATAGTTTCGAATTGGAGACGATACAGGGAGAGAGAGAGAGAGAGAGAGAGCGAGAGAAAATCGCTTATGGGATTGTCCTGAATGGAGATGAACTCGTTATCTCATCACTCTATAAAATTAATAGGATCTAATGGTATTAGCTGTATACGAGAATCTAAGAAATAATTTCTATCCATTCTTACGACAACACATGAAATGAAGAAGAAGAAGAAGAGCCCAACGGCCGCTGCTGTTTCTATCTCTCAGGGGAATGAAACTATCTAATTTTATTGGATCAATATATGTGGTGTGCATGTGTATGGAGCCATGCACAGTTGCAAATGGTCCGAATGTGTAACGAACATCTTTATTGTGATCCATTTAACGGCGGAGGCATATGTGAGACAGATAGAGTGAGGCGATTTGCAGAAATGTAATTTTCGTTTCGATGCAGCAACAGCAACAGCAATAGTAAATAAAAATAGATAAACACTTGTGTGTCGAGCGATAAAAATCGTAAAAATTATCCATAATCCATATTGAATACAGCAAGGATGCGAACGCAAACTTTTGCTCAATGCGCTCAAATATTAATCGAATGATATGGGAGTTTTGAACCGTGATCGAATTGACGATAAACTTATATTCCGATGCGATGGAACGCGAATTGATATTATAAGAAACTTAACGGTATGTTCGCCAAGGAATGAGCCATAAGAATAATTAAAACAGTATACACTATTCGATTGCTGGCAATAAAATAAAAGCACAGAAATATTACAGCGAACAATTTGCACCCAACAAAAACTTGGACATTAATTTAGCACAAGCGAAAAATTTTCTTCTTCTTCTTAAACTGTTTCTTTTACTATTTTCCATATCCATTTGATTCGATTAATTCTCTTGTGAATAATTCCCACATTTCCGCATTAAGAACAATGAATAAATCTCGACGTAAAATGTTGCGTCCCTCCCGCTCCATATACGCACACACAGAGTAAATGGAATCGTCTCAGTATCGATTAAATAGATTCGCAATTCGCTTTTTGCAAGTTTTACACAATAGAATTTATTGATGAGAATTGCTTTGGCAAATGGATCGAGTGTCGATTCTCTTGTGCCGTCTTTTATGTTCAAGCTTTTTGTATTTTGTCAGGTATTTTGTTGGATGGGGATGATGGTGTGTGTGTGTATGTTAGGAAGGCGAAAAATGGCGAAAACCATAGTAGACCTAATTGTTGCTAGGTTAAAAAACACACACTCAGGTATTTTATCTTGGAGATCAATGGTGCTTTGTTCACATTATGCTTCTATCCAATTTATATCATGCATGGTTCTTGTTCTGCTATCCCATTTTATGGACTGGCATAGAGCACACACACACACACACACACACATCGGTGATGAAACAAAGGACAAAGCGGAATTGTTGTGGGAGTAAACGATTTGCTAGCCGACAAATCCAAATTCTACATAATTTTCGAAGTTTTCATTCTCTTGCCCCTTCTCACTTCCACTCTCATCGCATCGTTCAAAAGCAACCGTTCAAAATGCCGAAGTTTTGCTGTATTATGAAACGAAGCACATTTTCAACGTGATAAACTTTATGTGAGTATGTGCTCCGAAATAAATGAATTTGTGATGACTTTTGCAATGGCAACGAGACTGCACTAATCGCCATTTATTACGAAACAAATTGTGTATTCCGATGTAGTAAAATGGAGTCAAATGACTTATTTCTCACATTTCCGAAATCAATACAATAAACAACAGCAACCAAACTGCCGAAATAATAATTGAAAATGGAGGAAAAAGAAAAACCGTAAATGGAAAGCGGATACACACCTTGAACGGCTTCTCTGGATACCAATGTCCTTGAAATTTGTCTTTGAGCGCTTTTTCGAGTTCTTCGCCGAAAATGTTGACACGACGTCGTGGCAATTTATTGTATAGATATGATATAACGAAATTTAGTGCCACCGACACCTCTATGTGCATATTGATTGAATGCTGCGATGAATTTTGTGTCGAAGAAAAATGTCGGTCGATTTGTTTGGTTGATCGGTTTCGATTTTCGTTTTTTGTGGTGATGGTAGTGGTGGCAGCGTCAGCAGCGTCTTCGACGTCGTTGAGGGCAGTTCTCTCTTTCATGCACACACGAGAATGGAAAAGAAAGTAAATGGAATGCGAATGGTGTGCGCGCGAAAAAAAAAATAACAGGTAAAAGTCTCCGGTCGTGAAAAATTGACTAGAATTACTCGTAGCGTTTGATAGAAGGGTTTCTTTTTATTTTTATTTTGTTTTTTGTGTTGTTCGAAAAACGTAAAACACGACGATTTTTATTTGCCTTTTGCGAAATTGTCTAGATCGTATCGGTGTCTCCGTGTGTGTGTATGTGTTTATGTATATATGAAATGTGTATGTGTTGTATATTTTAGCGTTGATTCTGCAAATGAGAGGTACGTCAAAATAACGATTCGATTTTCGATGTGTATTTCGAGTCGGCAAAACGTGTGATGTTTATTTATTTTTTGTGGCTTTTGCCGTTTTTACGCAGTCTTCTTGTTGATTGATTTATGGATGCCGTTTGTACACGACTCGGCTGGGTTTTTTTTCCTCTATGTCGATTGTTGCTGCCGAATACACACGCACACACACACGCTTCCTATTTCTGGCTCACTCTCGTTCGTTTGGATGATCTATTTCTCCGGTTTCTGACACACTTTTCGTCGGATCGTAGTAAACCGCAAGTTGATGGTTTTGTGCTTTTCCTTCGGTATATTGACAGCCCACTATAACAGCCTGCTTTGTTGATTTGTTTTTTTTTTCGTTTGTTCTCGTTCTCGCTCCCGTTTTTCGCACGTTTTCTGTTTTTGCTTATCAAAGCGGAAAAAGTAAATGTGTTTTGTGCTCTTTCACTACTGGTGTGTTAAACGTGCGCTGATGTTGATGATGCTGATATTACCAACTGATGGAATATCGAGGTTGTTTCCTATATTTTGCACGTCGTCACTTGTAATTGCTGCTGTCAGGCGTTTTTCTTCATATGCTATTGTTGTTGTTGGTATTTCTCAATCGAAACGGTTCGTACGTTCCAGTGATAGTGGGTGAGAGTCAAAGAAAAGGTACGTTGTGTCCAAGTGTCGACTTGACTTCCTCTTCAGGCTTCTCTCTATCTGGTGTTGCACGTGTTGTTCGAAGATTTAGATAGCTATCGGTGTTGTGGTCGTGCTTCTGATTCAATGACTAGAACTGCTGTAACGATAGGAAGAGGAGAGAAAAAAAACAGAAGTACATTCAATTAGTCAAATGTGTTCATAATTTGCTTACACTATATTTTGTATTGGTCAAACAGTAACAGGCCCTGTGTTTTTCGAATCAATTTACTGAAATGATCCGTATAATGCACAAACACACACACACAGTCCTATCATTTTGACACTTTTACGGGCACGAGAAAACATTCAAGTGATTTTTTTTTTCGTTGCTCTTCACATCGTCCCTTTTTCCACATCATTTCGTCGATAACATTGTGGCAATTTCCAATTCTAACTGCACGTGCTAAATAACACACGACCGTTTTGCCTCACTCAATGCCAAACACGGTGCTTTCACCAGTTGTACACTGTGTGCACATGCCTCGATGAATTTCGTACGAAATTCTTGTGGAAATTCAGTCAAGAGAATGAAACGATATCGACGGGGTTTTTTTCAATGTCTTTTTTAAGAGAAATAAATCGATGAATGCCTGACCTGATTAAAATACTTTGCCGATAAATATCTTTCTCGCACCGGCTGCTTCACAAATGCCAAAAGGCATCCGTGGGATTTCGTGTTCAATCAGTTTATCGATTATTATTTTGAATTGAGTATAATTAAAAATGTTAGCTTCGAGGAATGCTGCTTCACCGCATGAAAACCTCATCTTCCAGCAGAAGATGGTTCCATTGGATTTTTTCCCCTCTTTTTGAAAAATGTTTCATGTTAGTTGGATGTGTGTCACTTGAGCTGTTCCAGGTTTTAGAAATTTGATTTATACGTTCATCGCACGCTAAAAATATAAATTCTATTTTTTTTAAAGTTCCATTCCAAGGGGAGAGAGAGAGAGAGAGAGAGAGAGAGAGAGAGACAGCGCTGGCAGTTATTCAAAAATTAAACACAAACATGCATTTTCCCGCAAGGCATTCAATCTTTGATTAATTTCTCTCGTGCACAAATTTCCGCTGAGGAATACCATTCGATTTTTTTGTTCTTCGCTTCTGTTAAGCTGCGCTTAAGATTGTCAGTTTCATGCCATGACATATTTTTATTCTTAGTAAGAACTTCCTACTATCAGTAAATCAATTTCTTGTTACTATCAAAAATGTAAAACAGAACAACTCCCACCCGCTCTCTGTGCCAGAAGAGATTCATGAGAATGGTCTCGTCTGCGAAAGAACACTGCCATTGACGCATAGAGCATAGATATAAAATAATATCAAGTTGGTCTACAGTATTTTCCGCTCTTCCGTGCGATGTCAAAAGCAAAACGAATGAAATTCCAAGCGACCATCACTTTTTGGAATGTAAATTTCTAGGTTGATGACAAACAGTGAAACATGTAACCATTGAAAAGATTTGCTATCTTGATGCTTTGAAATTTTCCATTGAATTTTAATTTCCGTACTCTCCATACTTGATAACATTCTGAACTCACATTTTGCTGGTGAGCGAGATAAGCGCATGGACTTTTATTTATTTATCAAATTGCAAAATCTGCAAAACCCAAATAACGTTTCGTTGTGAAATTCAATCACTTCGGATGCCTTGTGGGCCAGTGAGCTGCCTCAACAACAGCATCGGATCAGTAACTGAGATGTGGATATTGGATATTACAAAGCGAATTTATATTCGAAACACAAACACACAAAATATTCACTGCATGTTTTTCGCATAACTTCTTTTTTGGCCCGAATTTTGTGGACATTCGTATGCAAAATGGTGTACAATTCAATTGAATTTGAAATGGTAAAAATTGCCGATTAATTTGCGTGTCATTTGCAAAATGTTGCCAGCACATACATAATAATATAATCAGTGGATAATGGAATATAGAAGAGTGCCAAATTTTGTTAATTAAAATTAAAATGCTAAAGTCGAAACATTAACATCTAAAAAAGTATTTCTATTTAATGGCCAAATTGCAGAGAGTTAAAAATGTATGAGCTCACTTAATGCCTTCAGTTGCTGAAATGGAGCATAAAACGCATGTAGAGTGCACAACGAGAGAAACAGAGTGCAGGAAAAAACAGCGCTGGCAAATTAGCATAAAACGAATTAATCTTTATGGCTTCCGATGCAAATTTTTGTGCCATGCAATTGAATATCCCGAATGGATGTCGAGTAGGTCTTTAAATGTAGCTGCTCGAAAATTCAGCTGGAACACAACAGGAAAAAAAAGTGTCAGAGCGTGTGTTAAATGGAAATCGTGTTGCATTTATTGTAATCATTTAAGCTTTATTTTGTTGGTTTTTTTCTTCGTTGTGTGCGTTGTTGTTCATAAAATAAATAGCTATTTTTTGTGCAGCATGCTTTTATCCATTTTTGGATAATGGGATACAAATATCGAGGCAATTAGCCCGGGGGAACAGCGAGCAGTGAAATCGTAAAACAGCAGATAAAATTGTGGAAAAATGTCATACAAGTTGTATGATACAACGAATGCCATATGTTTCCTGCAGCGAAACAAGCACTAAAATTGTACCAAACAAACAGAGGAGAGACGATAACAAAAAAAATATCGAACGAACAAAAAAATATAATAATCTATTTTCCATTACGTAGTGTTACGTAAATCAAATTAAGTGCAATCACATCGGATTGGATTGTTGACCTTGACCCAAAATGGTTCCATTGCTGGCCACAATTTGACGCATTTCCGGACGATTTATCGAATTCAATCATAAAATTTTCTAAATAAAAAAAAGCAGGTGCTAAAAACAGTTAAATTAAAATGTGATTGGAAGGAAATGTCGTATGTGAGTTTTTCAAAGGTCTCCTCGCCCCCAAAAAGCAATTATAAAACTTTCTAGTTGTTTTGAACTTTCGTTTCATTCCATAGCGGTTAGCATGGTTGTAGGAGTGGTGAATGTTGCTGTCGTCGTCGTTGCTGTTGTTGAAAAAAGTAGTTTTTTAAATCAGATATCAGATCGGAAAAAGAAATTGATGATTTTGAAAAAGGAACTATTGTACATGCGGCTAAGATCAGGGCGGAAATGGAAAAACAAACTTCGTTGGAGTTGGGTTAGCATGTTGGGTGCGTTCATATAATGGATATACACAAAATGTGTCTATTCATCGTCGCTATTATGAAGCGATTATAAAAATGCCCAAAAATTCTAAAAATATTCATGTATAACAAGGGAATTATAACAATGAATGCGAAGCATATCAAAGAATAAAACCCGTAAAGCGATTGTAATGCTGCTCGATTTGGTTCTTCATCATATTTTTCTTCTCCTTTACTCACCCTCTCACTCTTCCGCATTCTTTGTTCACGTTCGAAACGAAACGTTCAACCAGGAATTAAGGAAGAGAAGACATGCACAATTTAGGTATAATTCCCGCATTTAAGATGAGTTTCCAAAAATGCCACACTCACTCAAATACCTTAAGAATACACACACTATCCACCGAATTTGTACATAAATAGCCGAGGTGAACAAAGCAATGCCAAAGAAAATACTTTTGCATATATATTTTACACACACACACACACACACGATGGCAAACATTAAATTTGTGGCTAAGGGTCAGTTGCTATTGTTTACACACTAAACTGAACGCTTGCCAGTTTTCGTTTACATCGGCCTTGATGTGTTGTGCTATGCATTTAAGATTAATGATGAAAATACGTGGACTCATTTAATAAATAGATTCAGCTGCTTTTCTCTTCGTCTCTTCTACTTGCTACACGTTCTATGTTGCAAACAAAAGAATACCAGAATATACACACGAAAAATCGAGGTTTTCTTTGGTCGAGCTTAAAATTTTTTTCCGTTTATGCGAAACAATAAATGAATTTGCCTGTTCTCAATTGGCCAAGGATAGAATGTAAAACGTGTGAACTAGTTCAACAATTTCTTTCTTTCGACTTTTTGCATTAAAATTCACTTGAAGACATCTAAGCTTCTTTCGGAGGCGAAAATTTGCTAAGAAATCCATACTGTCATTATGAGGATAAAGAAAAAAAAACTTCAATGGGCAAACAAATGAGTTTACGATGAGAGCAAGAGCAGGCTTTTCAGGAAGTTCAGCCAAATGTGCTTGTAAACACTGCAATTCGAGCAAACGTTCTACATTTATTTTATGTATGAAAAAAAAGCATCTTCCAGCCGGACACTTAATTTCCTTGAAATTTTTTTTTTACAAGAAAAACTTTTTTAATCCAAAATCGATGCGGTTTTGCACGAAACGCCGACATCGTGCATGGAAAACCAAAATGGGACAACGACAACAGCAGCAAAGAAAGAAAAAAAACTTCTATATGTATTTATCGAATAAGAAAGTTATAGATCATGGAAACGATATGGCGCGCACGCTCATTCGCTCGCTAAACTTTGCTCCGAAACACTTGTCGCAAATTCGAATCATGTCTTCTTTTTTTCCCCGTCCCCTCGGTGTGTCTGTTTTTCCATCGGTGAAAATAAAAGGTTTTGAGAAATAAATCGCTTTTTTGTGTACCGTGAATAAATTGTTCCGGCTTAGATCGTCGTCGTCATCAGAGCGCAATAATCCACCGGTTTTAGTCGTTCATTGGAATTTTTTTTAACGATTTATTCGGAATGAGCCATGAGGTGAAGATAACGGAAAATGTAGAATGAACAAAGTAAAGAATGTTCTAAACGAGAGACTTGAGAATGCTTATTATTTTGCACACAGCATTTAGCGCTTGTGATATTGTTGAATATGTAATAAAGGGACTATGACAATAGAAATATATATGTATTTTGGATACGAGAGAGAGAGAGAGAGAGAGAGAGAGGGAGATAGAAAATTTTCAAGTCGAAACTTTCTTTTCCCGATGGAGTGTTTGAATTTTGATCGGAATTTGTTTTTTCTATTGTCTTTCCTTCAACTTTGCCTCCAAAATCGTTCGATTCCATTTCAAGGGGCTTTTTCGGTAACTTTTTCATTGCTTACTTTCAACAGTTTGCCAAGTTACCAGTTCGCAAAAATACATAGTACATCTTTCTATCTATTCTCGTTGTCACAGT